TTCACCAGCGGACTCAATGCATATGATTAGCAAGGCTTACAGTACCCACCTGAAAAGTCAGGGGTGGAAGAGAACAAAAGAGGTCCCCGGGGAGCCAGAGGGTCCAGCAGAGGGGCCCATGGCAGAGTCCCTCAAAAGTCCACTTCAGGAGGCCAAAGGGTCTCCCCTGGAAAGCTGAAGTCTATGCTGGAACCTGGAAATGGATGTGCAAAGGTGACGGGGAGGATTTCTGCTTCTCTGAAGAAGTCAGAGAAGGCTTCCTTTTTCTTTCCCTTTTTTTTCCACCCAAGATGCAAGACTATTGGCTGGTGCCACCTACACCCAGAATGGGCCTTCCCACTTAAGGAAGTTCATCATTCAGACACACCCAGAACAGACCTGAGGATCAAAGGAACAGATTAGAGACAGACACAACTTCAAACGCACTCAGCCCACCTTATCTTTTTTTTTTTTACAAGAATGAATGAATAAAGTTCACACCACTTCCTTGCTCAAGGTACTTGTGCAGGCTGTTTCTTTGTCTGGAATGCCCCATTCTCTTGCTTATCATGAGCCTCAGTGCCCACAGAAGCCTTCCCATAATCCCCAGACCCATCAGATTCTCCTGGTAAACACTCAGAGACCACTGCATCATCTTGTTCATTGATCTAGTCAGGTACTTGTCTGTGTGTTTATCAGTCATCTTTGCACATTAATGCTACGTAACAATTACTACCAAACCTAAATGACATAACACAATAAATATCTCTTCTCAGAGTCTCTGGGACTACTGGGTAGTCCTGCTGATATGAGCAGGGCTTGGTGGGACTCACATGCATACACAGCTGCACATTGGTTAGGTAGAGTCATGGATATTGGACTCTTTCTTTCAATCTTGGAGCCTTGACCAAGACAATCTCCCTTTCTCCAAAAGGACACAGCCCATATGGCTCTCAGGATCAGAAGGCCACTGGAGATCTGGGTTCAGAATCAGTCTCCATTACTTTTACACATTCTTTTGACCAAAGAAGTACAAGGCTGATCCACTTTCAAGGAGTGGAAATCCAGTTTCACCAGTTCTCAGAATAGCTGCAAAGTCACATCACAGATACAGAGGGTACAGATACAGAAAAGGATAAGAACTGGGCTGATGTCCCAATAGACCTGCCACATGTCAATGCATTTGATTAATCTTGTCTCCTTTAGAATACTATAAAACAGTATGGACAGGATTCATGCTTCATTTTTTCACTATCTTACCCTCAATAACACAAGTGTCTGGCATATGATAGCTTCCCAGTAACTATTTTAAATCTGTGTCTGATTGTTGTAATATCTAAGAATCTCTATTGCTATTATCTGTTCTTTCTGATGGATATTTACAAATTAACCTGTTTATTCATATACCCAGTGTGTCGGTCATCTTTGTTACTGTGACAAACTACCTGAGATAAACATCTTATAAAAAGGAAAGCCTATTTTGAATGACAATTTCAGAGGTTTCAGTTCATGGTTGGTTAGTTTCAATGTTTTGGGACCTGAGGTGAGGCAAAAGATCATGGCAGGGAACACCTGGTGAATAACATCTGTCCACCTCATGGTTAGAGGAGGAGCCAGGGTCACAATGCCCCCTTCAAGGACAGACTGACTGTAACCTAACTCCCTCCCACGAGGCTCCACCCCCTCAAGATTCCATGGCCTCCCAAATAGCACCACGGGCTGGTGCCCAAGACTTTAATGCAAAATCCAAACTGTAGTACCTCATCTACTCTAATTTGATGTCAGATGTTATACTAGAGAAACTCTTCCTAGGCATACCATGAGGCCTTGGATGATACATTCTAGGGAAGATTTATGCTTGCTTTTGTCAGGTGTTGCATTTGGGAAAGGGGGCAGACTTGCTATCCAGCGCTATGTTAATCCAGTGGAAGAGACTGAATTTTTCTGGGTCACCAAGATGAGCTGCAGTGTAGCTAAGAGCTGACTGATATCTCTAATACAATAGAACTTTTCTTAATACTCTTAGATTTCCTTGTGATTACTGAAAGAGTTGATCCTCTCATTCTCTCTCAATAAATATTTGTTTAATGAGACACTAGCTAAAGCTAATGGTCTCCATTTTGGGTCTTTTTTGCAATATTTAATATTACTGGAGGAATGAAAACGTTGCAGTTTTCAAAGATGCCTGCAGCTGTTTCTGCATTCTAGGGGTGGCAGCAAAATTCGTCTTTGGGAGAAGATTGTTCTTTTGTTTGGGAAAATGCTTTAATGAGCCTCTTGAGTATGCAAAGGTGCAGCTGAGCTATGAACCTAGAGGGAAAGGTGGACATGAAGAGAGAACAGCTTTGCTAGAAAATGTGAAAAGTTTGCCTTCCTACGGGCAGAGAGTTTAATCGTGCAAACTAATTTTTGCTTTCTCAGGTGCGCACAACTGAAAATTTGTGACTCGAGCAAAGAGGAAGTTGGTTTAGCAGCTCTGCAACAGGAAGGCGCTCCAGACCCAGGTGAAAGGCATGGCAGCTCTGGGATTAAGATTTCTCTGTGACATTCAAACCACTGTGCTTTTGTTAGCTACCGCCTAGTGTCAGCGGCACTGGAGGCAATGAGGACCTGTCAGCCCTAGCTCAGCCGTGTCAGGGGAAGGTAACCTTCTTCATCCTGTCCCTGCCTCTGGGGCCAGCAGGGGACACAGCAGCGTCTCAGTGGAAGGAGACAGTCCCCACAGTCCAGCATTCTAGACCAGCTGTTCAGAGCTGGCAGCCACAAACAGCACCCAAGCTATAAGAGTCAGACACTAATCACTCCTGTGTTGCCCCTGTATTCAGTTGCTCCCATGTTCCCAAGTGCTTTAATACAAAAATAGTTCTTTAACTTTCCCCCTCCTCTCCACCCAACGGCCCCCGCCTTCAGGTGTCCCCAGGTCTGGCCTGGCAATTGCAGTACCCTTAACCAAAGGGTGCACATTCCTCTCTTTCTCCTTCGTGTCATAGCTGCCAACATGATTTTTTGTAGTTGTTATTTCAAAACACAGATCTGCTTACAAGGTCTCCTCTTCAGAATTCTTCTAATCTTATGAGGTCAAGGCTCGGCTTAGGCAGACACAGACAAATCTTACCATCCAGCTCTAGCAAGCAGGTCGGATCTTACCCAGCACAGCCTCCTTCCCCACTGTGACATAAATTCCTGATGCACAGTCGTAGAACATGGTGATAACACCTAACCCCGGAGCCAGCCTGCCAGAGTTTGAACCCAGCCCTGCTCTTAACCAACAAGCACTCCTGGTCATGGGCAACTGGTACAATATTATTGGCACTTAAGAGTGTTTTAAGAATTAAGTGAGCCTATGTATCTATAACCTATGAACAGTGCCTGACAGTGCTGTTCATAGTGTTTGTTGGGATTATCGTCATTACTGGTATTCCCTACACATCTCTGGTTACTGCCACTCTATTCTTCTCTCTCCCAGGTACCCTCACCCCAATGACCTTCCCATCTCAGGTTCCTGAAAAATTCCTATTGATCTCTCAAGATTTCTATCACCTCTTCCACAAAGTTATTTCTGATCTTTCATCCACTTCTCCCACAAGATCACAGTCCTCTGTTCAGGTTTGTCTCTCATCCAGCTACAGGCTACAAACAGGACACTTACCTCCTGTTTATGATTCCCCATGCTTGGCACATAGTAGATGTGCAATTAATATCACTGCGTTGAATGCCTGCCTCCCACTCTAGGTGACAGGCTACCCAAAATGGGACTTGTCTCAGTCACCTTGCTGATCCGCAGATGTCACATTTCACCTTCTCCCCACTTCATCCAGCCCTGTGGAAGGCTTGGGTCTTCAGTCAGTCTGTAAATAAACCTGATCTTCGGCAGATTCTTGCCTGGTGAAAGTCAGAATACGTCAGTGTTTGACCTGTCGCCCAGTCTTGCTGTGTGCCAGCCCTGATGCTGCTTTGTCAATAGCTCGTGGCCCAGGGCAGGTAATTAAGAGAAGGTTTGGAGGGTTGACACAAGGAGAAGATGGGCAATTTTTCTTCTGACCCCCGTTCCCATGCAACCCTTATATGGTCCTGATCATTTGATGGGGGCACAGGAACAGAGCCAGACGGTCTTCAGCTGCAGAGGAAAACATCCACTTAAATAAATGGTAAAACAGTATGCAAACTTCATGACCTTGACAATCTCTTTCATTATGCATTAGAGTTAAAATGCTACGTATGATCTGAAAGGGTATCCATTCCTACTGAGGCTGGGGAAAGAGATGAGTAGAGCAGACATTTTTAAAATATTCATGTCTTTGCCCTATCACATGGCCTCAGTGCTAAAGCAACCTCCATCAGCGAGCTCCTGTAATGTCCAATATCCCACCCACTCCTCAGAAAGGTGGCCTTTATAAACCAAATCACAACAGCCAGAGCAGGACCTGGAATACCAGTGTACCTGTGTCTGGTGCGAACTGTTTTTTCCAGTTGGTGGCCTGCCTTCAAAGAGTTTCTGAAAGAAGACCATGACTCAATAGAAGCACCATCAACCTGAACATGGAGACTGTCCCAGCATCCCTTCCCCACAGCAGCAAGGCCCAGAGCCTCAGGAGCACAGGCAGGAGCTCCTCATCGTCCTTCTTCTGTAACCAGAGACACCTGAGGTCCTCTGGCCCTTCCTTCTGGAATATTTTCCACCTGCAGATCCAAAGGGCCCCAGGAACAGAAATGGAGGGCTGAAGGACAGAGGGATAGGGGCATTGTTTTTTTCTCATTTTCTTTTAAATTTCGTGAATTCTGTGCCTTGTAGGTAGATTGGTCTATACGTCTCATATCTAAAGAATAAATAAAGTTATACAAATAACTCTGTGAGCAGTTCAGGGAGGAGGACACTCTCTGGACTGGAACTCTGTCCCGGTGTTTGCCAAGCTTGGGGGAGGAGCAGACAGCATAAGATCAGTGCTAGGGGCACTGCAGGACCTGTGAGACCAGTACAGCCATGAGGGCTTCTGCCCAGCACCAGGAAACCAGAGCACACTGGGAAATCCTTGTGATAAATTGAAACTAATAAAAAGTAACTCTCCACTGGAAGCAAGCTCTACGAGACAGGGACTCACCCTGTCTTGATCACTGTCTGCATCTGGGGATCTGCAAGACACCTGGTGCAGGTAGGTGCTCAGGAAATCATTTTTCAGTGGGTGGTGTCACTGTCAGGATTAAACAAGAAAATGCATGCCGGGTGCTTAGCAGAACACCTGGCTCTTACCGAACAGGAAATAAATGTTGTGTTTTATCGTAACAACGATTTGACGGTGGTAGAAATGTATGCCAAGACTTTTTTGCTTTCCTTTGTTATTTTTTAACATGTCACTGACGTGTAAGGTACATGCATAAAAGCACAAAATGATTTCAGTACCTTGGCCCCACCTCACCCCACGTCTTTGTCCGAGGACACGTCAACCACATCCTCCTTCTGTAGCACAAGGGTCCCGGCCATGCTTGCAGCTAAATGATCCAGTTAAATAGTGACCAAGCAGCTTCCCTTCTCCAGCTTAGAAACCGGTGTGAGAAAGTCTTTTTCCCATGCAAAATCTCCTGGAGAGGTGGGTAATGGATGAGTGGCGGGGTAGACACTTTCTATGTCAAACACTCAGGGCCTTCTGCGGTTTCTGAATGCTGCCTGCAAACAGGGCCACAGAAGCTAATGGCGTTCTCATTTCCTGCCTGCCTTTATAAGCCCAGCGCAAGAGCTATTAGACGATGAAATACAGAAGACTGTGACTTGAGGTGTGGCCTTTCTTACTCATTTGTTCCTCCGCTGCACGCTTGCTGAGTGTTATCTCTGAGTTACACAGACTCATAGATGAGTTATAGTCCTTGCTGCCGACAGGCAGCTCTCTAGTGAGCTAAGCAAGTACTAAGTGAAGAGTTACATATAGAGTGAATATCTGGAAAGTGAAGACTGGAGGCTCTGTACCGTAAAAGCAGGGATAACTTGGTGGGGTGAGAGGGGCCAGCCAGGCCTTCTGAGAGTGTCAAAGTAGTCCAAGCAGAGACTGGAGGGTGGGGACCTTCAGAGGCTGCTCTCAGGTCACATGCAGTGCCGCCCTGTCCGGCCTGCTTTGATCCTGGCGGGATTTTCCCCAACTCTGTATGGCAGAACCTTCCCTGTGCTCTTTCTCTTCCTATTCCGGGGCAGCTCTTCCAGCCTTTGGCTTCTTATATGCAATAATACAGCTCAGGTATTTCAAGAAAATACCTCCTCTCCCCAGAGTCAGCCTTTCTACACCAGGAGCCATCTTTTTTTTCTGTATTGGGACAAGTAATAAATATTTTAGGCTTTGCAAGCCATAAAGTCCCTATCACAGCCTCTCAACTATGCTTATATAATCACAAATCAGCACAAGTGACACTTAAGCAAATAAATATGGCGGGTCCCAATGAAGCCTTGGAAGCCACCGCCATGTTTGGCACACCCAGAAGTGTTGGCCAACCCCTGTTTCAGGCTATTATCTTTCCAGAGAGTGAAGAAATGTGGTGTGAAGCTGGGCACCTGTGCTCTATTTTAGCAGGTCTTCTCTCCCTTTCCTGGGGCACAGCGTGGCGCAGTCCAGCATTAAGGCCTGCAAGGGAGAAATAAGCAAACTACTAAGAAGGAAAATGGACCAGGAAGTTTTTAAAAACATTCTCCTGCAATGTGTCAAAACCTGGGGTCTGGGAGCAGTATTTCTGCTGTACAAATGAAATCCTATCTGACTCACTCAGAGTGATGAAAGCTGTCTGCCTCCACTCAGGCATCCTCGTAACCCATTTTCTGTTCTTTTGCCAAGATGTCTTAGACACACAAATTTAGACATGCCACTGCCTTGCTTGAAGTCCTGCAATGGCTAATCACTGCGGTTGAAAAAAGGTTCTGCTGGAAAATATGGTTCCTGCCACACTTTTTCCTTGTCACTAATTCCCAAGGTGCCAGGAGATGAATCATGACTGATTGAAACCAATCGTGACAATCCAACGCCAGCAACTGATCAGGTAGGTGGGCTCCTCGACACAGTTCTGGCCAGTAAGACACAGCAGAAGTCTTCTGGGGACTTGTGGAAAAGTCCATTGCTGAATGAGAGCCTGCAAGAAGGCTTATTCACAGCCTCTGTTTCTAAGGATGAGATGCCAGGAGTTGTACAGCACACAGGATCATACCAGTCCTAAGCTCTTATTCAGAAGGGATGAAGCTGATCCAGAATCCCTAGGACCCCTTCAGGTACCCACAGTTTATCAGAGAGTGAGCAAAATTAGCAAGAAATTCTGGATCAAACTCACACCTTGATTGTGTGGGGAGCAGGAGCATAAATGGATGAGCTCATCTCTCCCAACTCATAGCTGACAAGAGCCTCGCTTCCCTATGCTGGAGCTCACAGCCTAAATATTGTCCTCCAGGAGATGAGTTTGATGGACAGCCACCAAAACCTGCCCACTCATGGCGAGTCAGGCCCATGAGTCATGAAACTTCTGGCCTTATTAACATGGCTGTTATTTACCCAACTAGGCACCCAGATGGATTTTCAAGATGTTACACTACCAATGTTGCTAGAAGCTCTTGGGCAATTTTCAGCACATCCCAGAGTAGCCTCGCCTCCCAGAGGTCACCCTGGATGGAGGCACTGCTGGGTCCTTGGAAAGTCATCCAAGGACTTAATCACAGCCTTCTCCAAATATGTGCATCAAGTCATGAAAGCTGAGCTTTCTCCTGCCCCATCTTAGCAGTGTGGGGTGGCACTCCACAGGCAGGAACCAAGAGCAGCCCATCTCTCACTGTTTTCCTGGACCTCCTTATCCAGATTGCTTTAGTCAGGAAAAAGCATTCGAGAAACTGTGAGGAATCCAGCAGTTGGAGAGAATTTGGAATCAAGGTCTGCATGGAGTCCCCTCCTTGTCTTGCCCAACTGTCCCCAAGCTCCTTTCTTTAGGATATTCAGACCCCTACAGCAGAGAGGACAGGAGCTCTAGCCAGGCTGGAGAACCAGAAGAAGTTGAGTGGCAAGAGAAACACACAGAAGAGCAAATCTCATCAGCTCATGTTGATATGTGCACCCAGAAAGAGGAAAGTTAGGACTTCTAAGACAGACAGGCCAGCTCAGGAACTGACCCCAAACCCTAACAGTCACTACATAGCCAGTCCCATCCACGTAGGAATTCATTCAGTCATCACAACAACCCTGCAGGGGACATTATTATTAGTCTCCTTCCCACTTTACAGATGTGAAAACTGAGGCAGTGAGAGTTTGAGTTCCTTATCCCGGCTACACAATTAGTGACAGAACTCTGCTCCTAGCAGTCTGATTCCACAGCCCTCTACCGTGTATGGTGTCTCAGGAGAGGGGATGAGACATCAAGGACAGGGAGTGTTTTAGAAAGTTGATCAGATCCTTCCACCACAGCTCTTTGGCACTAGCTATTCCTTCCACACAAACATCACTTCCCCTCTCCCCTTTCTGCTCTGGCTTAGGGAAGCATCCTCCAAGCCCAGGCTGCTCTTGGGAGGTGGTGAGACCTTAAAAAGCAGGGAGCATGGGACAAGGCTTCAGGTCACTTCAGTTCCTGCTGTGACGTGAACTGGCTTCCTCCCTCACACGCTCCAGCATGGTGTGCTGCCTGTCCACAGGCTCAGAGCAACACAGCTCCTGACCACCAACTGAAGACTCCAAAACTGTGAGCCAAGTTTCCTCTTTTTAAATTGATTTTAACAGAGATTTGTTATGGTAACAAAGGCTACACCCCGCCCCCACCTTCTAGAGGTCCTCCGTCCACACTGCGGCCTCAGGCTCCCTCCTCTGGCCCCTGGCCATCAGGGTCTCAGGCTGTGCCCCTTTCCTTGTGAGCATATTGCCACGTGGACTTAGTGAACACCGGTTTAATGTTTTGTCCCGTCTCTACCCAACCACTGTCCAGCAGAAGTACAGTAAATTACACAGACAGCTTTACATCACCCAGTAGACATAATTTAAAAAATAAAAATGAACAGGTGAGATTAATTTTAAGAGTGCATTTTATTTAATCCAATATATTCAAAATATTATCATTTCAACATACAATCAATGAGAAAATTATTAATGAGCACTTTTGCATTGTCTTTATCATATCAAGCCAGCGGAATTTAGTGTCCGTTCAGACAACTGCTTTCAAGCGGGGCTGTGGCTGCTGGATTGCACAGTGCCAGTCGGGTCCTGGCTTTGGCCCTCAGAGAGAAACTGGGTGGCAGGTGATCCAACTGAGATCCAAAGTGGCATAGCGGGAAGAGAGCCTCCTGCCCACCTAGTTCTCAGGTGGGGCTTTTGGCTGGATCTAGAAACCCAATAAATATAAGAGCTGATTAAACAGAAAAAAAGGGTAGAAGTTTGGTTATTTTACATATATACAGGGATTGTCATGAAAGAGCAAAAGACCAAAGAAATAACACAAACATGCTGCTTATACACCTTCTAAACAGAGAAGGACGAGACAAATGCTATCTGGACAGGGTGGTGGATTCTAGGGTGTCACTAAGATCTGTGGGGGACAGCGTAGAAGCCAGTGGAAGATCAAGGTTACTCGGGTCCACTGCAGTCCACGTCCCAGTTTCTGGTGATCAGGGCTATTTTGCAGCACTGATGTGGGCAGAACACCCCTCCATTGCACTAGGAAAACATGGGCCAGCTGCCTCTCCTGCGCTCAATTCCCCAAGTGATTTCGGCTTGAAGTCATTGATAGATCAGTTTGGTGTATTTTGACATGGCACATCTTTTTTTTTTTTTTAAACTGGGGGGAATCAAACTCAGGACTTTGTGCTTGCCAGGCAGGTGCTGTGCCCCTGAGCTACATCTCCAGCCCCAAAAGGTTTTTTTTTTTTTTTTTTTTTGGTATCAGGAATCAGACTCAGGGCCTTGCGCTTGCACTGCACCGCTGAGCTGTGTCCCCAGCCCATTGACACGGCACATCTTTAAAGTCTGCAGTGGTTCATCCTGTAGCCTCCTCCAGGGGGCATTCGGCAGCATCCAGAGACAGTTTTGAGTGTCACAATCACAAAGTTGGGGTGAATGTTGTTGGTATCTGCTGGGTAGAGCTCAGGGATGCCGATGGACACCCTGCGGTGCCTACGACATCTCTCACGATGCGGAATCAGACTCGAGCATTCACTTGCCCACTCACTCATCTGCTTCCTTTTGCTGATGCTTTGTGTCATCCACACTGCCCCCTGTGTAGTGCCCGCTTAGTGCTGAACCTCCATGTGTACAGTGGTCTGGCAGCGGGTCTTCCGGGGTGGGCTGTCAAGTCGGAATCAGAACTCTGTGTTGGCCTCCTGGAGGGGGCCAGGAGCCAAGCAGCAGTGTCTGGGCTCGCCCCCCCATCTCCACTCCACCCCACCCCTACATGCCAAGAGGCCGGAGGCTAGGGTACAATAGTAATTCCCATTGCAGACCATCTCTGAGCATCATTAAAAATCTTCCCTCGCGCGTGTGCACCAGACCGTGAACAAGCCCACAGTCAGCCTGGCCAGCAGGCAGCTCCACGCTACGGGAGGCGAGCTGGAGTATGCAGAGATGCCACGGATCTGCACCACACACCCGCCCGCCTTTAAACACTCCTGGCATAGCCAGAGGAGGGCATCAGTGAAACCCATCCGTCCCTTAACACCCTCCTTACGTGAGGAGATCGCAGGAACCCAGCACCCACTCCAAATGAGCACGAGCAATTATCTGTGAAGGTGAACTCAGCACTGAGGTGGGATGGACTTTGCCTTCTGAGCAGCCGCCCTGCACCCATTTGCCTCCCTGAGCTCTGTCTGCTCTCTTACACAGAGTCCTAAGAAAACGAAGTGAAAGCACACAGTTCAGCGTCTGGCCTCCCCTGGAAGCTTCACTTTTAAAAATAATTGTTTCATAGGCAGTAACCTAGAGGGAGGCTGAGCTAAAGTCCCCGGGGGTCACTGAGAGTGCCCAAGCTCCTCGCATGTGACTCTTGGTGCTTACAGCAATATCAAGATGCCATTTATGGCTCTGCAGCTCTGTGCCAGCCCCTGGGAAGCCCTTCCTGTCACCCCTCACACACACTCTGCCCATCTGCTTCTGTCAGTATCAAAGGGTCTGCAGTCTACATGATGTTGAATCAGCGGAGTCATAAAGATCTCCCTTCTTCCCTGGCTTCTCGCATCCAGCATAACTATTTTGAGATTTGCATATATTATCAAGTGTTCCTTTTTATTGCTGAGTAATAGTCCACTAAATAGATTATGACTATGTGTTTATCTGTTCACTTGATGAATAAGCAAATAAAATTGTTATGGACATCCACGTACAAACCTTTGTGTGTACATGCGCGTCCTTTTCTCTTGGATAGATAGCAGTGACACAGAGATTATAAAGATAGGTGCAAATGTAACTTTTTTAAGAAATTGCCAACTTGTTTTCCAAAGTATGCCATTTTATGTTCTCATCAGCAGTGTGCAAGAATTCCAGCTGCTCCACATCGCTTGCAGCACCCACGCAGTCTTTTTATTTTAGCTATTCTGGTAGGTGTGTGCTTGCCTAGGGCCGTGGTGATGAATGGGCTGTTTTTAGGCAGGGTCTCAGCATGTGGTCAAGCTGGCCTGTATCCCAGGCCAGCATCACACTGACCATCTTCCTACCTCGGCCTCGTGAGGGCTGGGATTAAGGCTGTTTCCAACCTGGTCACTGTACTTTCCAAGTGCGTATTTGCCATCCATCTATCTTTTTTGTTAAAATGACTTCTCAAAACTTCTGCCCATTTAAAAAAATTATGACTGCCTTTTAAGAGTTATAGATATACCCAGGACACATACCCTACATTAGATATGTGATTAGCAAATATTTTCTCAATCTGTTGCCTGTGCTTTCATTCTATTAACAATATATTTTGAAGGATCAGAGTTTCCAAGTTTTAATTAAAGAATAGAAAGTCATTTTATTGTAAGTGGTTCCTCATACATTAGGACTCTCTGCTGGATTCTAAGAAAGGGTTCTCTCATCCCAACCCAAACCGCCCCCTGCTAAGCAGCCTGAAACCATCTGGAGCCTCCCAAGAGATTTCCAAAACAGACTTCTCAGTTTATTCATCTGTGGAATGAAGCTAATGTTGGTGTGCTACACAGCTCAAGAAGGAAGGAATTGAGCTAGTTCATATTTAAAGCTCTTCCCTGGGTTCTAGCACTTAGTTCTACGTTGTCTTACCCTAGGGTTACTCTTCCCAGTGAGGATTTCTGTGCAGAGCAAACACACCACCTCGGGGCAAAAATATACCTAGACGGTTCTGCTGCGTTTGTTTCTGATAAACATTTATCTCTGTGTCAATCCTGGCTGAATTCTCTACCTCTTTAACCCAGTGAAACAATCCAAAGAGGAAGGCACCAGCATCGTCCTCGTTTTATATATGAGGAAATTGAGACCCAGCCTAGTGGCTAAACTGGAACTCAGCGTGGGTCTATCTGGCCTCAAACCCACGCCGTTAGACCCCGGTCCACCAGGACTGCCCGCCGAGTAGGAGAGGTTTACGGATCCTTAACTCATGTTGGCCTCCTGGCTCCAGGCCTGTCTTGTCCACGTGTCCAGGTCTGGACTGCAGACTTGTGCAAAGGCAGAGAGAAGAGACCCCCCAGCTGTACACTGCGAGGCTTTAAACAGTCTTGAGATTGTCCTTTGGCCACACACATGAATCTGCAGAGAAAGTGATATAGACTTGCAAAGATTAGATGCTGTTCAAGAGGAGAGAAACACCCCACACGTGTTACCTAACCAGCCTGGCCGAGTCCACTGGCCCCTGGCACGCATTGCCGTTAACAAACAGGTTAAGTACTCAAAGAGCTGAGGCTGTTTCCTAAACTCCATGGAAGAAAATGACCAGGAAAGAAGGGAGGTTCTGCCCAGAGAAGCTCACTTAGTGAGACCCTACAGAAAGGAGCCCCCACCCTACCAACTCATATCATGATGAATTAAAAAAAACCCTCTAACTTGCCCAAAAAGATTAAAAAAAAAAAAATAAAACATATACTGAGCACATTCTTCTTCCAGCACTGGGTTAGTCAGTTGGAGGATGCAAAATGAATAAGATGTAGCCCCTAGGCTGGGGGCAGTGGTGGGCACCTGTAATCCCAGCAGGTGGGAGGCTGAGGCAAGAGAGTCTCTGTGTGTTTGAAGCCAGCCTGGGCCAGCCTGGGCTATATAAATGAATTCAAGACCGGCCTGCACTACATAGTGTGCCCTTGCCTCACGCGTGTGTGTGTGTGTGTGTGTGTGTGTGTGTGTGTGTGTGTGATCTTGAATAATAATAATAATAAGACTTCTTTCTTCAGTAGTGGGGATTGAACTCAGAGCTTATGAACTAAACTACACCCACCTCCAGCTCTTTTTTGTTTTTTATTTTGAGACAAGGTCTTGCTGAGTCACCAAGTGGCCCGGGCTGGGCTCAAACTTGCAGTCCTTCTGACTCGGCCTCTCCAAGTCCTGGCATCACAGGTGTGCGAAGCTTTGATGGTTTTCACCACACGCGAGCCTCTGTGCTGCCCATAGGCAGTCTGTAGAGGACTGTTCCAGGGTACCTTCCCCCAGGACCTCCTGGATGCTTAAGCCCCTTGTACAAAATGTCCTAGAATTTGTGTACAGCACACATCCTCCCACGAATTTCCAATCATCTCTAAACTGCTTATCCCACCAACTTGGTGTAAATGCTATGTAAATAGTTGTACTGTGTTGTTTAGGGAATAGTAACAAGGAAAAAAAAAGCCTACACATGCTCAGTGGAGATGTGATCTTTTCTCTGAGTATTTTTGCTCTGCAGTTGGTTAAATCTGTGAACACAGATGGCCATTTGTATTAACTCATTCCTTCCTCAGAGCAATCCCAGGAAACAGAGACCCCGTCAACTCCATTTTATCAAGGAAACTGAAGCAAAGAGCATTCAGACCTTTTCCAAGGTGCCACTGTAAGGAGAGGAAGCTGGCTCCAAGCTGACTGGCTGCAATCACTCAGCGTGAGTGGACAGCCAGGGCTTGGGGGACATGGAGGGAGTGAACGTGCAAGTGGACAGGCAGGTCCCTGATGTGTCCTCAAACACTCAAAGGTGTCCTGTTGTGAGGACTGAGTAACCCGACTCCAGGTGACATCTTTATTTAACAACTTTAACAAACACTGGTTAAGCACGTACCATGTGCCAGGCTGTGCTCAACAGCAGAGCCACGGCGGTGGAGGACCCAAAGGCACAGAGTGTAACATGGGAGTACAGAGGGACTTGGCCATGCTGTGTGGGGACTACCCTCCTCCGAGAGTCAGGGCAGGCTTGCTGGAGGGGAGGGCAGCGCAGGAGAGAGGCATCTGTGCCTGTGGCCAGAGGGAAAGTGTGGGATGATAACGTTGCAGGCTTCCCAGCACATTCAAGGACAGCAGGAAAATCCAGTGCAACTCAGGTGCAGGAAAAAAAGGGCAGAGGTGAGCTGGATGCGGCTAAAGGCATTTCAGAGTCCGATGTTTCTAGGTCTTTCTCCTGAAATAAAGAGGAGGCAGTCGAATTACTGGGGAATTACACTTGGTGTAAGTTAGACTGCTGTTACATGTCGACTCCGAAATGTGAAACTGTTCCCTCGTAATGAAACACCACTCACCCAACAGTGCAAGGTGTGGATTCACTTCCAGTTGGTGGCTGCTGTATCAGTTATCTATTGTCCTGGTGCTGTGTAACAAATAGCATAAAATGTCAGTGGCATGAAAAGTGTGAGGCTCAGGCATCAGGACCCTGTGGGGCTCCACTGAATAGTGCAGCTGGTCTGGCTGGGTTTGCTCACACTCCCTGGGCTTCCTGACTGGGGTGACTTGGCCCTACCCCTGTGCCTTTGCTTCTCCAGCAGAGCTGTCTGGAATGTTCATATGGAAACGGCTGATGCCACAGACAGCGACGTGCAGGAGTTGTTGAGACAATCTTGGAGCTGACAGTCACACCATCACTCCAGCCTCACTGTATCCCAGGGGAGACAAACTACTGCTCTGGCCACTCCAGTTTGATAGGAACAGTTCAGAGATCACCTGCCAAAAAACAGCAGTGGGGAGGCAGGAGAGGCAGACCACTTATGTCTACCACATACCCCACCCCAAAACACATTGATCTGGGAGCTCTGGAGCCTCCCATCTTGCAACTGTGCCACCTCTCAGAGGCTTGTCACCAGCCAAAAACAATCAATGGAGGGGAGAATACACCAATCGGTAGATGGCAGAGGCACAGTGCCTCTTAGGAGCCTTTTACTCAAGCGGCACCTGTTACATTCCCTCTTGTTCCCTTGATGAAACCTGAGCACAGGACCCCCTACTGACAGCCCCCAGCCAGCCCGCAGCAGCTCGCCACCCAGGCAGTGTCACTTTGAGGCCACTCAGTCATCTCTGTCACAGGAAGTGACTCAGCATTGTGCCTTCCTGAGTCCCTAAGGGGGTGAGGATCTCAGTGAAAGCTTCTGCAGTGTCCCAGGCAACTGAATGGCCACCTCTTTTCCAGTAACTCCCATCTCCAGCCTGACAGTGGAAGGAGCAGCAGAGGCCAGATATTCATCTTTACAGATTCTAACATGCAGTAGAGAAGCAGACCGGTTGTGTTGCATTGCCCCTGGGCTCCAGGTGCCCTCCCGAAGCCACGTCTAGGTACCCGACAAGACCTGTGGGAGGGATCCCCTCTCCGCACCCCCACGGCAGCTCCAGACAGCTCTCGGCACACCCGGCCCACGTCTAGCTCAAGGACTGGGCCAAATGGGGCAGAGAGGGACCCAGCATGCTCCGCCCTGCCTCTCACCCAGGAGCAAGCGCCTTGTCAAGCCTCTCTCCAGAAATCTGAAACATGAAATGAATACCAATGGTCCGTCACCCCAGGAGGAGGGGATGCAATTACCAAAAATTCTGCTTACAGCTCAGATTCAATATTTGGAAGGGATAATCCTGAAATAAGAGATTGCCTGATTTCTCTCCCAAGCCTGTGAATGCTTCATTAGCTCCTATTTGACATTTGATTGGCTTCATTGTGGAGTTGGACTCTAAGAAGTCCCCAAGACAGAGCAATCAAGTTGCATAATGACCCCCAACTGCAAATTTTCAGACACAAATGGCAGCTGTTCCTTGGACATCCATGCCGAGGATGCTGCAGGAATTTGTATTTCAGCTCCACTTAATGAAACCCAATCCTGCTTGGTGCATCCGGGCCCCTGACTCAGCACTTAGGGTTTCCTCCGTGGTTCAGCCCGGAGGCGACAAACAAAGAACCCCTAGACTTCAGCATCAGCATCAGAGGAGACAGTGTGCTGGTGTGGGGGAGGGCTGCCCAGGCAGGCAGTGGGGTGCAGCACTGTGGACTTGAGACTGCTCCCCACACAGGACACAGTGCTCTGTGCCGAGCTCCCTGCTGCAGAAGGACACGTGGTAAGGCGAGCCGCGAAGGCAGCGCAGGCCCCGTGTGACCCCAACTTCCCCTCCTCCTTCACCCCAGCGTCCACCCCGGGGACCGCAGGGGACTTTCCACAGTGACTCCCGCATTCCCCTCCTGCTACCTCCGGGGAGCATCCACTAACGAGGCTTCCGAGGGCACGTTAGCCGATGTCCAAGCACAGGCGTGAGCACTGAGATTTCCATCTCCCCTCGAATCCAGGAAACTGCTCATCCAGTTACCTCCAGGTAGTGCTTCCCAAAATGTCACTTCCTGCCTGCACTGTTCCGTATCTGCCACCAGGGGGCAGCCTTGACACACTCACAGTGTTTGTGTTTCCCCGTTACTCAAACTGTGTACAAACGCGTTCAAACTAGGGAAAATAGGAAACAAACATAAAAGGTGTGTGTGTGTGCGTGCGTGCGTGCGTGCGTGCGTGCGTGTGTGTGTGTGTGTAAAATAGATCTATACAATATGGATATCTACCCTTGGAAAACGAGTCAAAGGGAAGTCACAGATTAAATGAGGTTCAGTTGTGATTATTAATTTTAGGGGGCAACAGTTTTGTTCTGAGTTCCCTGGTGGTCACAGCAAAAAGAGAACTATTCACTCATCTTTCCAAGGACAGGCCAGAATGTCATCTGAGTGACCTCTGCGAAACCTGCCACACTCTGGTTTATACAACCCTGGTGGATTTTCCAGATCAACTCTGCTCATGTGTAGGACCCTTCTTTAAATTTGTCATCTCTGTATTTTGATTTTATTTGTGCTTTGATTTAAATCAAAGGTAATGGGAGGACAGAAAGTGAAGCCAGAGCACTTCCCTTTTTCCTCCGTTTCTCCTCCTGCCTCTCTTCCTCCTCTCTCCTCTTCCAACGTTTCTTTCCTTCATTTTTTTATCTTTTTTTTTTTTTTTTTGCAGTACTGGTGCCCCCACTCCACCCCTGAGCTGCATCCCAAAACCCCACATTTTCTTTTTTAAAAATTTTTAAAATTATTTTGAAGGTAGTGAAATACAACAGAACCAAGCCAATCGAGACAGTACAGTGAAATTGATACAGAATGCCACAGAAGGTTACCAGGATAACAGCAATAGGCCCCATAGTATATCTCGTTATCTTCACAATAGTTGTTCTTTCAATCAGGTATAGCAAAATCAAACAAAATACAGAACATTAGAGAATTTATCAAAACAGAATATTGAATAGAACAGTATCATTAATCAGAACAAAGCAAAACAGTGGTAAAAATATTTGCCTTCAAAGAGATGGTAGAAGGAAATCCCCCTTATTTGCTATATTGCGTGTGGTCAACCTCCCAAGAGATGCTCAGACCTCTGGCTCCTGTTTGCTAACGGGGGTGGGGGGATCCCCACCTTTTCTTGAACACGTGGTGCTCAGATTTTCACCCCCACACCTGGAACTATCTCATCATGGTCTCCAGTAACTCCCACGTTACAGAACCCAGGAACAATCCTCAGGCTTCTTTCTGCAAGAACCAACCAAGACACTGGCCCCAGGGGAGCGTGGTCTCATTCCTGAAATGCTTCTTCCTTTGACAAGCAGCTACACGGGCCTCACGTCCGTCTCTCCCTGCTGCTCTGTCTCCTCCTCCCCTCCAAATGCGCTCAGGCTTGGCCTTTCTCTTCTCCATCCGTTATGCCCTCAGCCCAGGCTCAGGACTCAGAGTAGCAGGTCCACCCTGATGACCACCGTTATGTCTGTGGCCCACATCTCTATTCAGATGCCAGACGTGTGTCTCAGACTTAGCATGTCCAGGCCAAGCTCCCGTTACCCATGCCTGACTTCCTTTCTGTTTCCCATCTCGGTAAATCGCAGCAGCATTTGACACGGACAATCTTAGCATCATTCTGGGCTCCTGTTTTTCCCACAGCCTTTACAGCCAAGTCCACGGAAAATCCTGTGGGTCTGCCTTCAGAGTTCCTCTAGAACCCAGCCTCTTCTCCTCACCTCTGTTCTCTCCGCTCCGCCCTCACCCCTCACCTCCATCCCTGCTAAGTCCCCGCGCCGTCCCATGGGTAGTGACTTCATCTGTTTCGTTAGTTGCTGTATCTCTCTCGCTTAGACTGCTGTTTAGCACACAATAAGCCATCGGCGAATATCTGATTAAATTATTGAATGCCGCAGGGGCTTCTATGCATGAGAGATACACAAAGGATTAATTTCCAGAAATGATTTCCAGCTACCAAAATAATAAGAGCAAATGCTTTCTGAACACACACCGCATGCCAAGAAATTGCTGGATGAGGTGATTATAGCTCAGAAAAGAAGGAGATTGTCCAAGATTAAACATCTAATGGTTGGTGGGATAGATATTTGAATCATACCGTTTAGTCAATTCATCAACTATTTGTTAAGCACCATTTATGTGCCAGATATTGCTTTGGGAGAAGAAAACAGGCAAAGTTCTAAGTCTGATAGAGCTTGCATCGGAGTGAAAAGACAAGAAATGGAACATGTGTACGTACTATGTAGCTCACACGCAGAAAGAAAGCAAGTTAAAGAGATTAGCAGTAAAGCGGGAAGCTCGTGACGTAGGCTGATCAGGAAGGATGTCTCGAGGAAGCAGCATGAGAACTTTGAGGGTGGCTCATGCCAATACATGCATGAAGAGCAAAGACCCCAAGATAAATTATCTTGACAGGTTTGCGGAGCAGCAAGTGCTCCACAGCTGCGGCACCCAGGCTGAGGCAGGCTGTTTGTATCACTGAGAGCTCTGCTCTAAACGTTTGCCATCACTGAACTAGGTTGTTCTCCAAACAGGTTTCCCTCTGTGCACTTAGTTATAGTTGATGGTTTAGGGTTAGTTGTGCTTCTGTTTGTTTTGGGTTTGGTTTTTTTGTGTGTTTGTTTTTGTTTTTTCTGTTCTGGTTTTCTTCTCTTTTCTTTTTGGGGATTGAACCTAAAGCTTTCATACTGAGTTCCCCAGATCTTTTCTATTTTGCCCAGATTGACCTTGAGCTTGTGATTCTCCTGTCTCAGCCTCCCAGAATGCTGGGATTACAGCCACTGGTGGGTTGAAAGCAAGCAGGCACGAGTTCCAGGTGGTCACACTGCAGCGGAGACGTTGCACTGTGACTTATCTGCACAGTCCCTGTGGACACGAGGGGGCGTCACTCAGGCAGGCTGTGTCCAGTGTCCAGCTGCCCCCTGGGGACAGGGTCACCAGGAAGGGAGCAGTTGTGTAAGGCAGGAACCTGGATCGAGCTCTGTGAGGAACTGGTGGGGAAGAACAACAAAACAGGAAACTGTCGAGGGTGACCAAGCCCTGCTTCTGATGTGGGGAAGTTCAACGGATATTTAAAAGAAGGGCTGAAGCATAATAAAATTATAAGAATTCACAGCAGATCAATCTCAACTCTGACCCGAATTTCTAGCCGGCCCGCCTTGGCAATCACAAAGCCAGTTTCTTCAGGCAAATCCAGAGAGCAGACTGACAGGTAGCTGAATGGATGAAGGGAAGGATGGGGTGTGACCAAAACATACGGTGAGCTTAACTTTTTTGAACTATATAGCAGTTTAAAAACACATATTGCTATTAATTCCCTCTAAAACCCCCACCCTTTTCAAACACACATATCCAATCTTTCTTGTTATTTTCCAAAGCATCTTGTAAGTATCTTTATGAGGTAAGATCAAAAATGTGGTGAATACTGCTGCTCAGTGCCATTCAACAGAAAGGCAGGTTCACAGAAGGTTTTAGAGTCTCCTCATCCACCTTGTTCACAGGTTCCAGCTTTTTCCCAAGGTCAAAATGACCATGAAAGGTAAGCGGTTTGAACCAACTCAGAACACCGAGGCAGCCATGACAGGGTCACGAAAGACACTCAGGAGGAGGACTTCCGGTTGTTCTGGCAAGTGCCAGGAGCAATGGGGTAAGTGTGTTTTAAGCCTGGAGGAGGAGGATCACGAGGGAGGTGCATGATGTTGTGCCTTTTACTGTAATAAACTTGTAAAAATTCAAGTATTGATTGTACTGTTTGATCAAACCATGTGGATAAATGGACAGCTTCTACTGATACAGTTTCTCTGCCGAACTCTGCCTATTACAAGAGGTCTCAGTAATCCATGAGGCCATCGGCGATGCTATGACCTTGAAGGAGAAGGCAAAACATGATCAGAGGTCAAAGGAATGAACCTGGGTGCCCTCGAGGTATTCTAACATCTAGAACACTAGAAGAGAGGGGTAAACCAGCCTGCAAAACTGGGGATACCAAAAATGGGTATCTGAGATGAATACACAGTTCTCAAATGAAGAAATACAATTGACAAATAAATACATAAAAAAAGTTCATTATCATTAATCATTAGAGAAATGCAAATTGAAACCACACTGAGGTTCCATCTCACTCCAGAAAGAATGGCCAGGATCAAGAAAACTACCAACAACAAATGCTGGAGAGGCTGTGGGGAAAAAGGAACCCTCCTGCACTGTTGGTGGGAGTGTAGACTGGTGCAGCTACTGTGGAGGTCAGTCTGGATATTCCTCAAAAAGCTGGGATTGGAAGTCCCATTTGATCCAGCTATTCCACTTCTAGGCATATTCCCAGAACTGAAAACATGATACACAGTGATATATGTGCACTCATGTTTATAGCAGCACAATTTGTAATAGCCAGATCTTGGAAACAACCTAAGTGTCCACCAGCTGAGGAATGGATAAAAAAAGTTGTATTATTTTTATACAATGGAGTATTACTCAGCTATAAAGAATGATCACATTGAGATAGTTACTAATAAATGGGCGCAACTTGAGACCATACTCATAAGTGAAATCAAACTCAAATATCGTATAGTCTCCCTAGTATAAGAAATGGTAAGAATACATAAAAGTTTATGGAAATCATGATTCACCATTACTTTGCTTTGAAGCCTTATAATGATCGCGTTCATTAGTTGGAATGGTTTTATCCTGGTATGTTTGATTTTTTTTTATCTGTGATGGTTTGAACAGCTATTTTGAAGAAAACAAGTCATTAATAATAGCCAGTGCTGATTTAATATCATCTTACTCTGAAATCCTACTATGCTTTTTGCACCTCTGTTTCCATTGGCTCTATCATGTTGTACCTTATTGGATTGTATTACATGTGATAGTATAAACAAATTTTCTATGGAAAATGAGATAACATACTAGCCATTGTTCGTTTTCTGTTATTTAGTTCTGAATGCCCTGTAATACTGTCATTCTCTTGAGTGGTTTTATACTATTTTGTTATGTTTGATGTTACTGTATATGAAGTTATGCTCAACTATTTCAAAGAAAGAGGCATTGTGGTAGTTACTGTTAATTACTGGTTGTCTTGTAGTGAAACACTGTGTCGCTTACATTGTTCTGATCTGATCTGCTGGTTATGTCCTATTTTGTCTTAATCTCTTTAAAATAAAAGAAAAATTGTAAAACTGGGGCTACACGGCCAGTTAGAGGCACAGTCAGCCTGGAGAGTGTGAGCCCCAGAGAACAGAGGGAGGAGAAGGGAATGGGGACCAGGGTCTCGGGCTCCCTGCAGCGGTGAGCGAGGGGCCGGTGGGGCCCACGGTGTGCATGAGGAGCAACTCACAGGCACAGGGACAAACTGTCACCCGCTGTGTGCCTGCGAGAATTTCACAGGCCAGCACAGCCCTGGATTCCCACGGCCATGGAGAAGGAAGTACCAGGCACACGCGTCATCGTGCGTGGGCTGGTGGGCGTGGCGGCCAGGCTGGAGTCTGTCTGTGCGCCTTGATGAATGTGGGGTCATTCGTGATGAGATTAGGAGATGGGCTTGAACCAGGAATCCGAGTCCTGTCACACAGATAAGGAAGTTGCACCTTGTTCCCAGGGAAAGACTGACTTGAGACTGGCCCTGGAGGAGGGGTCAGAGGGTGAAGACGAGAGGGGCCACAGCCCAGGGCCCACCACACCCCGCAGGCTTGCACCTCACCCCTCCCTGCGCTGGGGAGGGGTGACTCCCAGAACCCCTTGAAGCTGGAGGAAAGAGCACAGATTTGGGCTCAAGTGGCCTGGTGACAACTTCCAACGCTGGAGGCTGGTCACCTTGTTTTCGAAGGAGAAACTGAGTCACAGAGGTTGTATCACATGCCAAGGTCGCAATCATGGGTCATGCTCTGTGCTGACAGGATAACTTCAAATCCAGCCTGAGCGGCGCAGAGGTCAAAAGCTTTCAGCTGCAGTCGCAGAGCTGGGGTTGGTCTGAGGGGGCTCCTGGGGGAAGCCAGGCAGGGAAACCCACAGGTCTCCCGGCCAAGGCACAACCTAGGGAGATGGACAGTGCGGGCTGGAGAGGCGCGTGCTTCCTGGAAAGAGAGGGCTGCTTGTTGCTCCGTAAGGTTGTCCGTTGTGTTCCTCACTTCACTGGTGAAGAAACAGATCAGAGAAGCTAAGTAACGTGTCCGCCACTGAGCTGACGACTGCTGGAACCTGAGTGAGAGGACAGCCGGCCCTGCTTCCAAGGCCGGTTGCTTTTTCTGAGAAACGGTGAGAATTTTCTAAATAGAAAACCTGCTTATCCCGTCTACTCCCACAAGAGCAACAGGCAGGGTACATTCCTGAGACTCAGAGCAGGCATCATAAAATAGGGACCATCGCCACACCTGCGGTGCGGGCTTGCACGGCATTATACCCGAGCCACAGCAATGCGCCCGGCTCACAGTGCTCAGGAGACGGGCCGTCATTCTAGAGCCTGCCGCTAGCGGTCTTCCTCCTCCAAAGAGCGAGGGCTAACGTCCCCATTCAAAGCAAGACACAGTAAACTCCAGTTTGTTTCAAATCCATTTTATCCAAAGATAAAAAGAAAGAGAACAAAGGAAAAAGAAAGGAAAAAACTACAACAAAAATTCAAAGCGTGTCAATCAAGAGCAGCAATGGTACATGCATTGCACATTGTCATCCCCAAATCATTCACCCAGAGCACAAGACATCTGCATTCAATTGTCTGAACAATACTGGCACAAATCTGTCTCTTCAGCAAACCCAGAGAAATCAGTAGTATAGCTACCTTAATTGTTTTTATACACATATACATATGTTTTTTCTTTCAGCTTGTCACACTAATGAAACAATACAGTGTTTACACATATGCATGTTATTTATTTTACTAATAACTATGTTCTCAAAATGCATTCATGTACCTATAAAAGTCTCCAGCTTATCCTTCTTTATGGCTGAGTAGTACTCCACTATATAGAAATACCACATCTTTTTTATCCATTCCTCAGTCGATGGGCATTTATGTTGTTTCCAAGATCTGGCTATTATAAACCATGCTGCTCTAAACATGCATGCACATGTGTCACTGAAAACACAGTAAACTCCAAAGGTCACTGGAGTCTTTTTTTTTTTTCCCTTCTCAATCAAAGATAAAAAAGGAGATAGATGAACATTTCAGGCATCAGGAAAACCAGAGATGGGATTGGGCATGTGTACATAGGGCCCTTATGATGGGACATGGTGACTTCGGTTTTGACCACTGAGTTAGAGTGGCACCTTAGATACCAAGACGCACCGTGGGGGCCTCCGCTCGGTGCTGTGCATGGGGTGCCCACCATAGGCCAGAGCGTGCCTGGCCAGGCACTGTGTACAGCTGCTTGCTCTGGCCACGGTGACATCGCCTGTAGAAACTTTGCCCTCATCTCTCTGACCAGCCCTGCATCCACTGCGGCAGTGGGATTGTGCGTGACCTCAGAGGCAGCTGTGAGGTTAATGGACCTGTTCAGATGATGCCCAGGAGGTAGTGGGGAGCTCCAGTGGGGTACAGCTGCATCACCCCCACAGCAACCATGCACCTCGAGCGCCGTGTGCCTGTACAGGTGGAGGAGCAAACAAAGGCTCAGTCTCACTCACGGTGACTTGTCTGAGATCACACACACACGCACACACACACACAGCAGACAGGGGTGCTCTGTTCTCTACCCTGAATTAGGCTGTTGGCTCCTGGAAGGCACAGACAGGGGACATGGGTCACACACCGCAAAGGACAGACAGGCCCAGGCGGGAGATGGCAGGCAGAGCCGGTAGAGAGCTGGTTGGAAGGGCAGACCCTCTGCAGGGCTAGGATGCAAATGGAGAGGGCTGTCTTAAGGAGATTGGCCCTGAGGAGCCCTGACATCAGTCCCGTGTCTGTCACCTTGCCCTCACCCCTCTGAATTTGTGCATCTTCAACCCAGAGAAAGAATCGAGGGCTGACCTGCGCCAGTCACACCTGTCTGAAGTCCCTGCCCTGCCATCGATGAGCTCTGTGATCGGGCAGGTTACTTTACCTCGTGGGCCTCATTTTACCTGTCTGTAAAATGGTCCCCCACTTTCCACACCCATAAGCATGAAACAGCAAAGGAAAGTACTGACCAAGACCTTCACAGAGAGCCCTGCACAGGGCAGATACTTCCCCCAGCTCACGTGCTCTGGGCTTCCTGTCCCCATCACCCCCAGGCCCCTTCCTGGGAACCAGCTCTGAGTTTGTCAGAGAGCCAAACTGCTGTCAACCCCACCCGAGCTGGCCAGTTAATGAGTGACCAGGCCTGTGAAGCCTGGTCTATAAGGAGCCGCCAGCCGGGAAGCAGGTGGGAGCCAGGTGCACAGCGGTGCAGGGACACGGAGGAAGCAAGATGGGCAGCAGGACCCTGTTGGGACACCTGTCCGTGTTGGCTGTGGTCCTGCTGCTGCTGCTGCAGGGCACACAGTCAGTCGACATCAAGGTGAGTCCCTCGGCCTCAGTCTGACACTCAGTCACAGTCCAGGATGCAGACAGCTTGTGCGAGGTGCAGGCGGAGTGTTCACAGTGATCACAGTGGTGGCCGTGAGGAGATAAGAGCACGTGGTTGTTTATCTCGCACTGCTTTCCTCTAAGGCTGGAGCTGGACCAGGGCTCAAGCGGGCGGAAGAGGAGCCCAAGAGGAAAGAGGCCCCTCCCCCTTTTATGCTTCCACTTCCAAGTTCATTCTTACTGGGGGAGGAGTAGCCGAAAAGCAGTCCCCCTTGAGGCTATGCAGGACAAGCTGAGGTGCAAGGTCCAGAGGACCTGCTGCAGGCAGAGGTATAGCATATTCAAAGCCCAGAGAATAGGCGGCAGGGCAGCTGGGGTCCTCCAGGGGCTGTGAGGTGGGAGAAAGATGTGGAAGCAGAGTCTGGCTCCTGTACAGTGGGATGCCACTGGACTCCATCAATGGGGGGCTCTGACCCTGGCATCACTGCCTGATCAGGGCAAAGTCTCCTCAGAAGGATGAAGAGGTCCCGGGAGGGGTTTGAGAGAGCCAGCCCAGCCAGCCTGGGGTCGCCGTCGCGTCACCAGGTCAGCTCCAGAAGGGCACCAGGGTACAAGTGTGTCAGGATCACAGACCCCCACAGGGGGACATCAGATGATGAAGGAGCTGAGACTCAGGTGGGAAGAGCAGCAGCCGGTCATGGCAGAGGTGAGACTCGAACCACAGTCCACACGTTTCTAACACCCAAGTCTTGGTCACAGTGTCACGCAACTTGTGTGGACTCCTACCCAGCTCCCAGTAGTCTGGGGCAGGGTGTGTGCAGAGGACTCAGATCAGACACTACCGCTCTTTCCGGCATGGCCTGGACTTTCCTTGAGGACAGCAGAGGGTCCAGAGGATCTGTAGGGTTCAAGGACTCCCAGGTCTCATGGCGACCCTGCTCCGTCCCAAGAATGACCCCTCCCAGCTGCCCTCCCACAGTACCAAGGCTACCAGGTCCAGCTGGAATCAGTGAAGAAGCTGAAGGCCCTGGAGGAACAGTGGGTGTCCAGCCCCCGCCTGCAGGCCCAGGACCCCCAGCCTGCTGTGTGCCACCACCCAGCCCTTCCCCTGGACCTCCAGCCTATCTGCACCTCCCAGGAGGCTGCCAGCATCCTGCAGGCCTTGAGTAAGTGCCCCACTCCCAGCTCGAAGATCCTCCTGCTCCTCCTGCCCTGCCCTACTCAACCTCCTCACCAGGGCTGCAGGAAGGGAGGATCCAGAATCCCAACCCCTGCCCTCCTCAGGAATGGCCTGGTTTGGACACAGAAAGTCAGACTTGTGGAGAACTCCTTTAACCCTTGGGAGCCCCTCCAAGACTCCACAGATGGAAAGGGAGGGAGCCCAGAGGGCAGCCCTCTCCCACCACGGCAGGGAGCGTGGGAGCCTGGAGATGCTCATAGCTGGCACCTGATGGGGTGAGGAGCTGAAAGGCTTCCAACGTGGAGACAGTTAAGCAGAAATTACAGGGCATGGCAGAGCTGGACAGCGTAACTCATGGTTTGCTGACCCCTCCTGTGTGCTGGGCCCTTTGCCTGCATTCCCTCTCTGGTTCCTGATCAGGATGATCTGCCCCTGTAGCAGACAAGAATCTGAACTCAGGCCCAGAGCGCAAGTACCTTGCTCAGGCATAGTGGGAATAGAACCAGTGCTCCTCACTCTGCAGCCAAAGCTTCCTGCTGGGAGGATGGTCCAGGACCTCTCCCAGGTGGCCACTTTCTCGCAGTCTGGCCAGCAGCTCTCAGGAAAACACAGGCCTCCCAGGTCAGGTTCAGGTTAGCTCACTGATCTTTCCACCCAGGGACCATGGACAACGACGAGTGTGAGCTGTGTGTGAACATCGCCTGTACCGGCTGCTGAGACGATCTCGGGCATCCCCTCCCCCAGCTCCTCACTCCTTCCTGTGCTCCGTGGAGAAGCCATGACCATCACTGCCTTCCCAGGACGCAATCCATTGGATCCCAGGAGAATTTAGCGCCCTGTTTCTGAATAAAGATTCTGTCCACAAAGGGCCAAGTGTCTGTTTGTCCATCCCAGAGAGTGATGGGTGGAGGCGCTGGGGAGATGGATGGGCAGAGGAGAAAGGTTGGGCAGAAGATAACAGGCAGGAATCTCCCTGAGGTTTCAAGGTCTGAGGAGCTGACTCACAAAACCTGGTTTCATAAATAAGGAGTCCAAGCTCAGAGAGTAACCCAGACTCTGGGACCCTCAGGCTGAACCCACAGCCCCCCAGTTTTGCAGTCAGAGTTCCTGTGCTCCTGATGGGACAGGCAGAGGTGGGAGAAGGTGCATGGGAGGGAAGATCACCAGGCCCCTCCAGTCTATCAAGGTCAAACTCTGTCCCCACCCTTTACCTTTGTCCTGTCTCCCTGAGCTCCCGCTGGAGCAATAGTCAAGATTTACTGAGCACAAGCTAAATCCCAGGCACCTTAAAAACTTGGCACATGCAACTCAGAGTCCTTCCATCTCCTTTAAATACAGAGTCATGCACACAGAAAGAAATCTCTAGCCTGGGGTCACGCACTTGCAAAATGGTACCGCAGGTTCCTCCCAGCACATCTGGACTAGGGCTGGTTCTCTGACCCCCTTGCTCCTGTCTTTCCATGTCAGCGGCCCACAGAGGCTGGCAACTGTAGCATCTTCACGGCAGCCTTCATGGCCTGAACTCAAGCCAGGAGCTGTGTTAGCAATTCTGGGAGCAGGGCCTTTGCCCAGAGTGAGCACCTCCTCTGCCCTCGCCCTGAGAGCCAGGGCGGAGGACAGCTGCAAAAGGGCCGGTTTATCCCAAAGCCTCCAAGACCACAGGGGAATCCTGACTGCTGCCTGACCCAACTGCAGTCCTGCTGTCTCCCAGAGCTCCCGCCTCTTCCTCTCCCTCCTCCGTGGCCAGGGCCCTGTGCAAGTCCCGCTGCAGCTCTCCAGACCTCTAGTCCTGCCTCTGCCACCACTCAGGCCAGCCTGAGCTTTCCTCATGAGCTCGCATCCTGTGAGCACCTCACCCAGAGGAACAGCAGCAGTGCTCCAGCCCTGCTGCGGCTCTCCAGGGTCACCTCCCAAGTTTAGCTTGTGCCCAGGCACCACCTGGACTCATCGCTACCCGTTGGGTTCGTCGGGTTCCCATCTGTCTGGTGGAGAATGCGAAGGGACAAGCAGAGCAGAGCACCTGTCTAGTGCAGGTGAGGCTGGTGACAGCAGCCTCACAGGGCTGGAAGCTGCACACAGCTGCGGGCCAGTGGTGCTCCTCCCCCTCCCCTCCCCCTCCTGCCCTCCTCCTCCTCCTCTCCTCTCCTGCTCTTCTTCCTTTTATTGTTGTAAATCAAATTTATTTGATTTGGGTTTTTTTTTTGGTTAGTTCATTGTTAATGTATAGAAATATTACTGATTTTTGTGTGTTAATTTTTGTATCCCGCAACTTTACTGAATTTATTTGTTCTAACAAGTTGTTTGGCAGGGCCTTGAGGGTTTCTATATGTAAGATCATGTTACCTGCAAAAAGAGGCATTTCAGTTTCTTCTCTTTTGAGTTGGATCCTTTTTAAATTTACTTTCTTGTCTAATTATTCTGGCTAGGACTTTCAGAAAATATGTTGAATAGAAGTAACAAGAATGGTCATCCTTGTCTTGTTCCCAACTTAAAAAGAAAATTTTGAGTTTTCTCTTTTCTTAGTCTAAAGATTTGTCACTTTTATCTTTTTTTAAAAAAAACCTCAGTTTTACTGATCTTCCCTACTGTTTTCTAGTCTCTGTTTTATTTATTTCTGCTCTGAGCTTATTCTTTTCCTCATTCCTTGAGGTTTAATGTTGTTTATTTCAGATCGTTCCTCTTTTCCTTGTAGGTATTTATTGCTACACACTTACCTCTCTGAACTGCTCTTGCCACACCCCCTAAGTCTTGGGATGCTATTTTCATTTTCATAGGTCTAAAGCTATCTTTCAATTTTCCTTTTAATTTGTTTAACTGGCGAAGCTTTAAGAACTGTCCCAGGGTCCACTCATTTAATCTTCGCAGAGTCGGCATCCTCCTCGCACTTTGCTGAACAGGAAACGAATTCTCTGCCAAAGTCACGCGGCTGGAACAGGCAGAGCCAGGATTCACTGCCAGCGTTGGCTCCAGAGTTCAGGCACTGAAGGATTTCTACCCGCCACTCATCTCCACAAATCCCCCGGCAGACTGAAGAGGTGGGATCTGTCATCACCCCGTTTCCAGAAGACAAAACCAAGACTCAGAGAGGGACACACAGCTCGTGAATGACATGTCAGCTTGAGCCCGTTCTTTTTGCTTTTCAGGCTTCAGCCTGTCCATACTGAACTATCCTAGTTCCTCCCAGTTCCACTGGCCTCCTGTTCTGGAAGTTTCTCTTCCTACCTCCATGTTGATTTGCAAATCCCAAATTCCAAGAGCTATTGAAAACATGATCCTTCTCCTCCTTCATAAAGCCCTTCCTGATCTCAGCTGGAAGAGAATCACCCGCTGAATCAGTCCCACAGCCCCTGGAAGTCCTGCTTGGACCCCTGGTGGTGCTCCTGAGGGCCTTGTCGGGTTCTCTTCCTTTGTCCTCTGGATCTTTACTAACTGGTCTTACTCCCCACCTGTCCTCCCCATGCCTGTCCGAATCATTCTCAGCCTAACCCTAGTCTTTGATTTGTTTTTACTGCTGAGTTCCTCTTCTGTTTTTCTCAGGACTGACTTGGGAACTTTAAATGCATTATGTCACCCAACCTGGAGACAAGTACCATCAATGTCCAGTTTTACAGAGAAGGAGGTTGAGGCACAGGGAGTGAAAGTGATTTTGCTAAAAATCTTGGGTTGGAGCTCAGGCCAGCAACCAAGCAGTACCAGCTTTGTCCTGCCGTCTTACACCCTCATGCAAGCATCGTGTGGGTAGAAATCATTGTGTCTGGGGTAAGGCAATCTTCCACAGGCACAGAAGCCTTTACACAGCCAGGTGGGCAGAGCTGTGCAAAGGATGTGGGCAATCAAAGTACCCTGATAGCACTAAGGACGGGGTGGGAACACACATGTTTTCCTGTGTGGGGAATCAGGAATGGTGTCTTCAGAAAATGCCGTGGACCTGAGTAGTTTTCCCAGCCAGGAGCACGGGAAGAGGGTCATAGACATGAGGGGGATCAAAGGTATGGCCTGGATGGAATTGTAGGGGAGGGTGAGAGGCAACCTGGCATGGTGAGAGGGAGCCAGACCCTGGGGATGGGGGTGCAGGGATGATATCGAGACTTGGACACTGATGTCATAGAGAACCAGTTCAGACAGGCTGCTGTGCTCACTTTGGTGACCTTAAAGATGTAAAGGAAAAGTGGAGAGCCCTCACCAGGTGCGGCCTAGAGGTTCAGGTTTCCTCCGAACCTGTGTGTGGTAGCAGCCCCGGGGGTGGGGAGTGGGGAGTGTGGCAGGAAGCCTGCACACTAATCCCGACCTTTCCAGGCCAGGATAGCAGCCATGAGCTGCACCGTGGCCAGAGTGATGGTTGAAGGACAGAACAAAAACAACAGCAGTACTCTGGAATCTGGTTTATTAGCTGAGGGTTGGCATGGATCTTGGAAAGCTTGGTCTTGGGCCTGGAGCCCCCAGTCCTGCAGCCCCTCTCTGGGCTCCCTTCTGGGGCAGTATAGGTTGAGTTGCTAGGAGTGGAAGGCTCATTGGTAGCCCTTCCAGCAGAAGAAAGAATTTCTCTGGGAGGAAGGCAGCGAGCAAGGCCACCCTAGCATCCAGCACAGGCGGCGTAGGCACAGATCTCACAGGTGCTCGGGTCCTGAGCGATGACCGCTGGACGAGAGAGATCCCCTGGTGATGCCAGCTTCCCCGTCCCCGAATTCGCCTGCTCCCCTTCAGCCAAATCTTGGGCACTTTCTACCCCAGCCCCCAGGGGTGTCCTCTCTGAAGGTTGAGTGTCTACAGACCACTCCAGCCAGCCTCTCGGAGGGGAGCTCTGCCCAGAAAGGAAGTATAGTTGGGACCAGATACAGCATGCAGAGCCACCTACCAATCATCTCTAACCACTTAGGATTCATCTAAACTGTGCTCTACATACCCACCAATCAGAATCGAGCCCCTCCAAACCCCACCAATCAGAGTGCATCTCTTCCCCAAGAGTTGCCAGAAGATGCCCGCCCGCTCACCAAGCCGGTTCAGAATGTCCTGGGAGTTGGGCTCCTTGCAGACAGGCCGGAGCTCTTCCGGAAACCCTGAGAAGCTGCAGAGCGGTGGAGCCACAAACTTTCTGCGGCCTTGGACCTTGGACTCCGGGGCCTCCTGGAGGTCTTTAAGCTTTTTCACTGACTCCAGAGAAAAGGAGAAATCTCCATCCTGAGAGAAACAGCTGAGCGTGAAGCCTGGCACGTCCCAGCACTGCGGTCCCAGCCCTGTCCCAGCCCGGTCCCAGCCCGAGGATCGGACACCCCCTGGGGACAGTGTGTGTGCAGCGGGGGAGGGGTGTCCAGAGCTGCTGCCTGCCTTCCTGGCCTCGCCACATAACCTTGGGCACACTGGGGGCCTCAGGTTCTGCACGCTGTCTTAACAGGAATGGAGAAAATGGATATGGCACTCCAGGGACCCTGAAGCCAGGACCAGAACACCTCCTTCCACATGGCTGGCCTGGCAGTCTTTCCCCCTCCTAAGAGCACTGTGGCTGACCCTCTGCCTCCAGCTTTTGCCTGGTTTCTGTTTAAGAAGCAATAAACTCTGCAGAGCAAGGTGTGGTGGTGCATGCCTGTAATCCCAGCACTCAGGAGACTGAGGCAGAGGATCCCAAGTTTGAGGCCAACACGGGCTACACACTGAGAATCTGTCTTTAAAAAAAAAAAAAAAAAAACCCAAAAACAGTTTCCATGAGCCTATTCTGGTGAGTGGAAGCCCTTCTGGGTACCAGCCGGGCCTGTGGCTGGTGTTGCTCACGCAGGCACAGGCGTTCCTCAGAATCTCTAGGATCCACTGGATTCCACAGCCCTAGGATCCCAGGATGAGGAAGAAGTCCCGGGGTTTGACTCCAGCTCCTTCATTTCCCAGCAGGATGCTCCTGGTCCTTTCAGAGCCTCTCTGAGGCTGTAACCCCCTCCTCCCAGGGGTCACAGTGGGGCACTGGGGAGAAACCCTTTCTGGCAGGTGAGCCATCCTCTCCCTAGGTCTTTTCTTCTCCAGGGCTGACAGGGGAAGAGTGTGCCTGGCAGGACTGAGAAGTCCCAGAAGCAGTGTACTTCCATTCTGGCCCGAGATAAGCCCTGGCACCCCCAGACCTGGCAGGTAGGGGGCTTACCTGCACAGTGACTGCTCCGACCAGGGCAGCCCAGGCACCAAGGCACAGCGCAGAGAGCAGGAAGGTGTTCATGGCAGCAGAAACCAGGAGAGAAGATGCTGGTTCTGCTGCCAGGAAAGAACAGGCCTTTTAACAAGGTCAGGGTTATTGAGTAACCTCCTGCCCTTGTCAGCATCCCATCTGCTGCCTCGGACCACATCAGATAAGGGTCAGGGCAGCCCTTCCAGATAAGAGACCAGCCCCAGTCTGGCAGAGCCCAGGCTCCTCCCTGGGCACCACTCTGACCCACAGTGAGGCTGAGACCTGTGTTCCTTCTGCACCACAGCCTCTGGGGTACCAGCCATGCCCTTAACGAGAGAGAACCAGAGCAGACTATGCCACAGGACAATTAGGGTGAGGGTCACTGGGCTGTACCAGCATGTGGGGCATAGCAGGACAATGTGGCAGCAGGGGTGGATAGGTCAGCTCAGGAAGGCTTCCCCAAGGGGGCTGTGCCAGTGCCTATGCTTAGAGAATGAGGAGGGACAGGAAGAAGGTCATTTTGTGCAGAGGGCCTTGCATTTGGAATAGCCAGGGGGTGAGATGGGTCTGGGATATTCAGAGAAATGTAAGTCAGCCTGGGAAGGAGGAGGTCAGGACACAGGACTTCGAATGACAGCTAAGGCTGCAGGCCAAGGATATTCCTAGGCTGGGCAGCTATGATTTTAGGGAAGGACTCGGCTCTCCCACTCCCAGACTGCATTCAACTTCCACCTACTGCCCCATTTTGATGTGTGATGTGGGCAGGAGTCCTTTCCTCACTGAGACTCGGTAATAACCCTGTGTTCCCTGGGGGGACCAATACTAATACCTACCTAGTAGGGCGGGTTACTCTTTGGAGGGTAAAATGAGGTTTAGGAGTGAGGCCCAGTGCCCGACCTGCAGGAAATGCTCAGCAAAGGGCCATTCAGTTATATTCTTAGCAGCAGCAGCTCCTGGCCTCCACCAGCCTCCTGGTGCTGAGTCACAGCCCATCCTCACTCTGCGTGGCTTCTCCATCCTGCCAGTCCTTTCCCTGCGGTGTCCTCTGGTGGGATCTCAGTCCCCTTTGCAGCCCCTGTTGTGTAGGTGGACTCTGCCTTGCCCCCCTGCTCAGTCCTGGAGACTGGCTGTACCCTGCAGCATAGGCCACTGTATAACCTATGGTGAGTGGGGCCCAGGAGGAAGGATAGCCCTGGCCGCTCTATCTGCTCCACCAACCTGGCTGGATGCCTGGACAGCTGGCTGGTGGGGCAGGAATGCCTGCATGCCAGAGTCAATATTGAAGAAGGGACTGAACGAAGTGGAGCTTGGTGAGGAGGGACTAGAGGCCAGCCTGGCCTTCCTTCCCTGGCTAGTGTGTGTGTGTGGACACCCAGGTGTAAGCACATCTGTCAAGGTGTGTGCTGAGCACTTTTGTGCATATGTTGAGGTAGGGGTGTGTGTGTGTGTGTGTGTGTGTGTGTGTGTGTGTGTGTGTGTCCAGAGACCCAGGAAAGGGCGATAGAGCCTGGGATGGGGCCAGCACTGGAACACTCAGGAGGCTTCGAGGTGGTGCTGGGATTGCACAGGGCTGCAAAGGCTGAGTAGAGTGAACATGAATATGAAAGGCAGCATTAGGTGGGGTATTGGGACTGTGGCTGAGTTTGAGAAAGATGCAGCTGTTAACGTAGGAGTTAAGTTAGGGTTTGAAATCAGGGCTTGGACCAGGGTCAGGGTTAGAAAAGACCTGAGGTTGGGAGAGGCTGTTAGGGTAGGTTTGCAGTTGAGGAACAGTTAGGATTGGTCCGAGGTAGGGACCATAGTAGATTTGGAAGTCAGTTAGGTCAGTGCTCTCTGTAGGGCTGAGATTGAAGTTGATTACGCAGTTTAGGTTAGAGGTGTGGCTGGAGTTGGGTTTATGACTGCATCCAGGATGACATCTGAGGCCACATCTGCACTGGGACTTGATTTGGCCTTCATGTTGGGGCTCAGCTGGGGATGGGGGGCGCGCTGGAGGAGCCGTTTTCCCTGACCTACTGTGGCTCTTCAGTCTTTCCACTCCTGAGGGGTAGCAGTGTTGGGGGTTTTGATTCCTAATGCTTCTTTCTGCCACAGCCTCCTGCCAGGGCTTGCCTAGTGTAAGGGAGGACGGGTGGAACCGTGCGAGTGACAGCACTTAACCCTGTGGGAAAGAGGAAGTGGCTCCCAGGTCTTGGTCCTTTGGAACATAGCTACTGAACCCCATTCTGACATGTGTCCTGGGAAATGGGGACCAGCCCTTCTTCCACGGTCCCCAGCTTCTCTGCCCAGTCTGTCCCTGGCTGAGTTCAAGCGCCCTCTTCTACTACACAGGACACTGTATCTCAGAAACCTGAATAGTAACTGCTGGATTATGGGCCCGCTCAGAACTACAAGCCTCCTAACCCTCAGGCCTACGCCGAGTCCCCAAAACCTCACACACTACATCCTTCCTGCATGGGTGGGAGATAAATCTGAGGTTGTTAGGTTCCTCATCCCAAAGACAGCCTCTCCTGACAAACTCTTGCCCCTCTCTGGCTCTCCAGGCCATGACATCTCTACCATTTACTTCCTCCACCCAGAAAACCATCAGGAGCTGCCCCAAACTGCAGAGGAAAATCACACTGCCTTGCTTGGCACTCAAGGTCATTCTGATCAGGCCTCTACTGAGCTCACCATTTAACCAGGATCCCAAAGGACTCTTTAGCAGGTGATCAGGAAATAGGGACCAGTGGAGGCCAGAGTTGAGGCTCCAGGGCCAGGCAGTCCTGGACTGGAATCCGATACCACTTTTTAACAGCTGTCCAGCCTTAGAGACAGGTTGGTTTCCCCATCTGGTAATTGGAGACAAAGCCAGTCCCGCTGCAAATTTTAGATTTTTTAGAACTTTCCAACCAACACTGGGAACTTGGAGACTCTAGTGCTTGGAGACTCTATGTGACCTTGAAAAGGGTGTGGTTCACATTTCATAGCCCCACCTTTAAAGCCTGTAAATGTTTTAGAGGGCGTAAACAACCTCTAGTTCTTACTGGAATCCAGAACTGCTTGAGGTAGACGTTATAATGGATGTGAACCTCCTAACAACTCTGGGAATATGTAAGAAACTACAGCATAATTCCATTTTATAGTTGTGTAAGCTAACCCTCACAGGTAAAGAGAGAAACCACTGCTTTCCTCAGAGTGCATACATGGCTGCTGGGTATAACTAACTGTGCTGGTTCTGCATTATACAAAGGTACCTGGCCAAAAGCGTTAAGTATAGGGACAAGGCAGGCTACCTCAAGAGAAAGTACAACTTTCAGGTTCATTGCTGGGTGGACTTGATGGCAGCTGCAGTTACACAGCTATAAATTCTAGAGCAGAATCCATTTGTCTCAAATGCCAAAGAAAAATCTAAACTTGTATCCAGCCCAACATAATTCCTCCTGCTGTCTTCCTGATGCCAAACTGTCTTTTCCTTCTAGGGAAGGAAAAGAAAGGACCCTGTCCCTCTGAGAGGAGGAAGCTGAGGCTCTCTCAGAGTGCTCAGTGCCACAGAGTGGATGTGGGGCGGGATTCCAAGCCTGTTGGCCTGAGCCCTCTCCTTCTGTTCAACCCCAGATGGGGTGGCCCTTTCCCTTGATGGCTCAGGGGGCAGCTGGGAAGTGGACCAGGATGTGACTGGTTGTTTGCTCACTAGTGTCATCCCCTGGTGGCCTAAACAGGATGAGGCGATGGCGTAGTTATTCACCATCTGTTCCGACTCCCCATGGGCAGCTGCCACCTCCTGCCCACTTCTGAGGTATCAGTCCTGCCCACACTGGAGGGTGACAGGAGACAGTGGGAGTGCCCACCATGTGCCCCACAGGAGACCCTCCAGGAGCCCAAAGCTGGTCAGAGAGGCTAGGATATGGCAGGGGCTTGTGGCTCTTGGGGAACACATTAGAGGCCACAAAAAGACAAGCCTGGGGTTACAAGTCCCTGGGCCCAGGTGAAGAGAATGCTGGCTAGTGGAGGCAGGGCTTGAGGAAGTGTTGGTCAGTGGAGATCTGGAGCTAGGCGGCACAGAGGGCAGAGGCAGGCATGGGCTGAAGGCGAGAGGGAGGCTTTAAACCCTGACTTTGATTCTAACCTGGTGACAGTTGGAAGCCTTCAGGGGTTGAGCAGTGTGAGGCTGTAACAGGGCTTGGCACAGAAAGACCACATGGTAGTGACACTGAGAGCAGAAGGCCTGGTGAGCCCAGGGGAGGGGCAAAGACCACGGGGCAAGACAGTCAACTGGTCTTGGCAAGTTGGCAGCAGACAGCAGAGGGCGGGAGAGGGCGGGAGAGGGCGGGAGAGGGCGGGAGAGGGCGGGAGAGGGCGAGGGTGGGGGATGAAGGAGTCTAGGTCTTTCTGACCTGAAATCTGCATTCTTCGCATTGTCTAAAGTACTGTGTTAACCTGGGTGTGCAGGGAATATGCTCAGGCTGCGTGGCATAACAGAGCAGCTTCTGTGGTGGGTTGGGTCAGGGTAGGGGCTGCCTGCAGGCAGCAACAGGTATGGGTCTGCCATCCAGTTCAAAGGAACAGCAGCAGCAAGGACAAACCAGGCACGTGGTAAGAAAAAAGAATCCATGCTAGCCAGCAGTGCTCAGTGCCTGGGAACCCAGCAGGATCCCAGTCTTATAGATAGGGTAGCCTGGAAGTGGAGGAGGCTAATATGCCACTAAATTTGAGAACCCAGCTGCCTCCTGTCTGGAGCTTATAAGCACATACTGACGAAGTGCCAGCCACAATTACACAGTCTGCACTATCACATAATAGCTCAGAAGCTGGACGGCACAGTCACGAGTACCCACACCGTCTCCCTCACACAGCTTCGAAGCCACAAGGCTTGTGGAAGCGCATGCTCTCTCTGAACTAGGGGGTTACTCTTGCCTCTGCCTGCTGACATCACAGAGAAGGGCGGAAGTGTCCTTTGACAGCCTTATTGCCATATCTGAAACAGGAAGTTGTCTCTGATCTTTTGGGGACTCCAATCAAGACAGGTGCCATCTATCTAGTGATGCCACCTCAGCTGGGTCTGGGGTAGAGTATGCCAGGGTGGGGAGATGAGGGAAGTCAAGGGCACCTAGAGTGTGTCGTGCAGAGGCAATCTATCTGCCTCTGTGGGAAGAGCAGACCAGAGCAAGGCGGATCTGGGCTCCTAGCCTCTCCCCTCATTCGGCAATGACCTTCGGGCAAAGTACCTCACCTCTGCGGGTGGCAATCCCCTGCAGTAAAAGGCAGATAACAACCAACCTCACAAGACAGCTGGGAGTGCTGACTGATAATGGCTGTCAAGTACCGGGCAGGAACCTGGCAAATGGTGGCAATAATCATTATATCTGTGACAGCCACAGGAGTTGGTGTGTGTGTGTGTGGCGACATTAAGGCAGTGATGGCAAACCTTTTAGAGCTGTTAGTGATAGACAGCCCGCTGCAGCATGCATGCTGTAGGTTTGCCACCATTGCACTATGGCCTACTACTCAGGCTCAGCTCAGGGATGTGGAGGACAGGTATGTGGCTGGCCCACACCACACTACACAGACAGTATGAGCCTGTGTCAGCCAGTGCCACAAGAGGAACAGAACTTCAGGAGGCTCAGAGTTGGGGACTGATGGTGGGATGACCTCTGCTGACCTTAACCTTGGGAGTTGGAGCAGTAAGCATCAGCATGGCTGGGCTCACCATTCAGCACTCACAACTATAAGGCTCCTCGGCCCCTCTAACTAGCAGAAACCCTGGAAAGGAGGAGGTGCGCATGCGTGCGCGCGCACGCGTGTGCTGAAGGCTGCTGGTTCCTGGAGTCTCTAGTTTTGTTTAGGGGCACTCCACCCTAAGGGCTGTAGGGAAAGGGAGGACAAATCCTGACATAAAAGAAGCTTCCAGAACAGGAGGGGCACACAGCCGGCAGATCTGCCCTCTGGCGGCCACAGGCACTCACAGCAGCCTCACTTTGGTTTGAGTCGCATTCTCTTTCTGCTGGTAGCACAGTGGGGCCAAGCACCTGACAGAGCACTATGCTGGTGAAAGATACAGATACTACAGCTGTATGGCCTAGACTTGAAATTCCAACTCCACTGCTACAGCTGCTATCACCAGCCAGATGAGCGTGGATGAATGAGTTTATCTTCTTTTGTAAGATGAGGTCGGCAGTAAAACTACCAGCCATAGTATCAGTATGCGATTGTGAAGTGTGAATATTATTTGCATCAAATACATGGGATAAAAAATATCAAACAACATGCATCCTATCCGAGTTCCATGTTGCTTACAGTACCGATTGAAAGGTGGGAGTTGCACACTCCCCTCACACAGGGGTGAAATCTAATTTGGCAGTCTGTGACTTCGTGTTTGTTGACTTGTCACACTACGCTGAGGCAGTGGTATTCAAAATCACTCCTGAACATTCACTAATGTGGAAAACTGCATCTTAGCCCTGCATAGCCAGTTTTTCTTGTTGTAATTTATCGCTAAGTGCCACGTACAGCAGCTGGTTTGCACCCAAGGGCAATCTGTCAAGGTATCTTCAGCCACGGATCATGCTCGGTGATGACATGCTCACACAGGGAACTGCACGGAGGCAGTGAATCTACCACGTCACACGAGGGCCACATATCCATCCTAAGAGGACACTCTACTATAACATTAAAATCTCCCTTTCTTTTTGATGAAGTACTACATATGAAACTGAATCTGCGTGCTCTGATTAAATATACTCATGGTGCAACTTCATTGTGAAACCTCTCCAAAGCTGTTTCCTTTTCTGTAAAATGGGGCAACAGGGCATTATCAGCTTATTATAAATACAACTGTGTACAAGGATTCTAAATGGCTACCAGGTAAATAACTTCCTTCCTCCTTCATTCATGATTTAACTCTCACCCCCAGAATCCTGCCTTGCCAGCAAATACTTCCATAGTAGTCTCCCAAGCCAGTTTCCCTGGGCTGGCATTTGCTCTCTACCCTGGGCAGACAGAACTGTGGGTTCCTCATCTCTGGTTTGTTATGGGAAGGCTGACACTGTCTGCTCAGGAAAACAAAAACAAAACAACCCCCCAAAAAAACAATGCTCTGGGGCAAGCACCTGCCTTGCAAGCACGTGGTCATGAGTTCGATCCCAGGTACCAGAAAAAAAAAAAGAAAGAAAGAAACAAAACTCCATTGTCACCTTCTGGAAACAGATCTCTGGGAAGGCAGTGGAGGGATAAGACAGGGAACAAAGGTTTAGACAAGATGAAGAATTCAGTTAGGATGACCAAACTCTAAAAGAACATGATACTTGGACTCACATCTCAGCTCTGTCATTTCTCAACTAAAGAATCTACACCTCTCACCGAGGAATCTACACTTTGACCTGAGCTGTTCCTGTAGCTCTAACACAAACATCACCAGCAGGTTCTGCGCTCTAGGTGCTGTTCTAAATGTTCAAATATACTGTCTGGTGTAACCACACCCCAACTCCAGGAGGCAGGTATTATCCTTATGATGGCATTATAAATGAGGAAATGAGGCTCAGAGAGATTAAATAACTTTTCCAAGTTCATACAACTATTGAGAAGTTCAGTGAATGACAGCAAGCATTGTTTTGTGGCAGGAATGCATTGGGACATAATTTCAAACACCCCTAGAGCCTGGCCCGGGGTGTGGCCTGGCCACGGGGTTTCGGCATTTGGACCAGCTCCAGCCGTACTAGCTCACCTGCATGAATGACAAAGAACAGTCAGTATTGTAAATAGAGTTAACATATTTATTTTAAGTGCCATTCATGCATATTAGGTCTGGCAGCAACAATCCTAATGACACTTGGAATATTTCTTTACAGCACTAAACAGTTACAAAGAATGGGTATCGGTCATCATAGAGGCAGAATATGAAATCGTGCAATAGCAAAACTGTAGAAACATTAAAACACTGACTGTCCAACATCAGTACAGAAAGCAGGTTGTGTTTGCACAAAAAGCCAATGCATTTTCATCACATATATACAATATAGATATGTACACATCACCCTCTGAATGAACAATATCAAAATACTCTATTCCATTTGAAATTATCCCCAGATTGATTCCCTCCCACTTCAAAGGACATTTGAGAGACACATATTTACAAGAACACACGTGAATACATTTACATTTCAAAAACTGCCACAAATGCCAGTCGGATTATTCTCCTGGACAGAGTGTCCCTGTTTGATTACAGGCATTTATTATTGTTTCCCCCAAGTCTTTAATTTAAATCCAAGACAGAACTCTGCATTAACAATTACCAACAGGAATGGCCGCTAGGGGCATTCTACACCTCACCAGGTAGCCCTGTTGGGCCACAGCTCCTAGAAAAGACCTGTCCTGGGCCCCTGGGTCTCTTGTATCACACACAGCAGAGTGGGACACGTATGGGTGGAGACTTTGCCTCCCGGGTCATTCTTGTAAGTTTAAATACTCATATTGACCACTGAAAATCATTAAATGATTGCCAAATGGGAAAACAGCTTCACATAATTTGTAAAATCACAGTCAGTGGTTCTACCTAAACCATTCAGTTTAAGAGGCTGCATTCCAATACCCAAATTGTTTAAAGTGCACATTGCTATCCAAGCAATTCATACAGTTTCAAAACAGCTATTTTGGTGTCTAGAAAACAGTGACTCTAGTAGACTACTGAAAATCATCTCCTTTTTCCAAGCTTTTACTCTGCAGGCTGCAATCTCCTCTTGCCTTGATCCTTCTAAGAGGGGCCCGTTGGTTGCCTTTCCAGAATCCTCTGATATTCACTGATCCAAGGGCCTGGAACTGAGTTTCCTTTTTCATGCCAAATAGGGTCCAAACAACAGAGAAACACAGAGCTCTTCTTCTCCAACCTCACCATCCCTTAGAATGGCTGGCTTCCCAGTAATTCATTGAAGGCAACACTCCAATAAAAAAAACAAAAAACAACAAACAAAAAAACACCACCAACCAACCAACAAACATATGTTCACACACACTCAACACTCTCCCCTCCCCAAACATACATATAGAGAGAAACAAAACTTTATTTCAAGTAGAGATCACTCAAACAACACTAAGGCTAATTAAAGTGACAGCATGGTTGATAGAGATCAGAGATGCTAAAACAGCAACCAGTGAGCAGTTATTCCTCAATTTGATGGAACCCTTTCCCCCATTTAAACTGAAAGGACGGTGTGTGTGTGTGTGGGGGGGGGGGCATGCTAAAGAATCAATTCAAAACCTATTCATTAGGGGAAAAAAAATCTTATTTCTTCTAGCTCCATTGTAAAACTCAGATAATCTATAAAAAGGAACTGTGATAAGATATGAAACAGAACAATTAAAAATCTCTAAAAGAAGAGCTTCCTTTCAAAGAAAGTGATACAATTTCAGGTGCACACGGGACACAGTAACAGCAGTAACCACTTTATAACTGTACTAAATACTGAGGCAAATAAACTCTGTTTGTAGCCCTACCTGCTGTCAGTGCTTCCTAAATGGAAAGAAAATGAGTGGTGAATATTGCTGCATAAACCCTGCCCTGCCATTCTCTTACCCAAATGGACTCTGATTCAAATTCCAGAAAAGTCTAACTTAGCTATTAAGTCTCAACCAGCAGGAATGCTAAGATAAAGAAACGTAAAGGAGTGGTGTTAGAGAATGATGACTGTCCCTCTGATTGTCTCATCTGTAAACTCTTACCAAGAAAAATAATTCTGTGCTTTCAGACACCATATTTCGTGTTAGCAAACCCAATAAAAGCTGAGCATTCACAAAGGTGGCAATAAATATTAAAAAACACTGTTGAAAAATAAATATGTAAGTGAATGTAGAGGCACTGATTTGCTTAAAGACCCAAGCAACGCCTAGCCTCTAATCAAATTTCAGAGCTGTTACAATGCAGACTTAGGAAACAGACATCAACAAGATACAACATATACTCTATACCCCGCCCCCAACATTAAAACAATTTTGGTCAGTTCTTCATGTTGCTCAAGAGCAACATGCTCCTCTGGATTATTTGGAGAGCATCAAGCTCTTGGTTTCTTGAATTACTGAATAGAATTTGTTATTACCCACATTTCTGAAAAAGATTAAATAAGAGAAACTGGGCTTTGGAGAAATCTATTCCCTTTTAGTTCCCTACCTTAGTGAAAACCATCCTGCAGAAAATAGCCCAACAAGGAATAAAAACTGACAGTAACTTTACTCTCAATACATAATAATCCAATTAGAAAAACTGAAGCTTTTCAGTAATTTTTGTACATATATTTACACATGTGTATCTATAAACTGCTTGCAGCAAAATAGGCTCTGCCTGAAAAAAATCAGTCTGGCACTTGTGGTTAACATCAAACTGACACAAATATGCAAAAAGCTGTCCAAATCACACAACAGTTAGGAGCTACATAGGGCAGTTTGCAGGGAGACAAACATGTAGTACTTGTTTGGGTCAGATAAAAGCAATTAAGTTATCCAGCTAAAATCATTTTGATTGTCTTCAAAAGAATTTTTGATAACATTGGTAAGCGATTGGAAACCTTGTTTTCTCAACTGGATTCTCTTAAACCTTTCCCTTCACTGCAGAGAAGTGATGCTGGGGTCCAAGCTTTGCAGAAACAAACCCTACACAATTGAATCCCAATCAAAGTCATCCTGGATGTCATCTGGGGGCAGAGAGCGCCGCATCTGGAAGGCTTGGGAAGGCATCATGTGCTGCTGGTTCATAGTTCCGTGATGGCCTGGAAGGGAGAAGGCAAGGTCAGTAGAGGACTGGGTAGAAAAGAAAGGAAGAAGCAAGCGAACTTAGTGAGCACCTCCTATGTGCCACGGGCACGGCACTCATCATCACCGGCCCACCTAGACACGCTTAACAAAGCACCTTTACCATCTTTATTCCATAGGTAAAAGTGGGATATGCTTTAAGAAAATAAGCTTGTTATCCCAAGTCAGATAAAAAGGAACTGAGACCAGACGTAACAGTTCACTTGACTCCAAATGCCGTGCTCTCTCCATGATACAAGGTGAGGAAGCACGAGAAAGAGCTGATGCAGGCATTTCTCTTATTGGTTCTGGTCTAACACAAATGTTCTGGTAACACAAATTGGTACACACAAGAGTGGTAAACAGGAGAATAATGTCAACATGCCACTGAAGTCAGATTATACCAGACTAACTTTTAACAGCAACTTAATTAATTTTTGGGCCACCAAGTGAGCAAGTGAACACAGAGAGTCTCAATTCACAGGACAGCAGCACATGGTGGGAAACAACCACTCCAGTTCTTGCATCACTCGTCTGTTTGCTTTTCCCCAACTGCAGCGCGTGCTGCCCTGTATCACATCCTGACCGAGCCCCTTCTAAACCAAAGTCATTAGTTTTAAAGTAGATTGACACATACAGAATTCTTTTTTTTTTTGTACCAGGGATCAAACTCATGACTTTGAGCTTACCAGTCGTGCTTGAGCCACTGAGCTACGGCCCTCAGAATTCATTCTTTTATTAAAAATTAAGCGAATCTTTTTAACTGTTGTGGAGTTCTTACTGATTATTTGTTAGTAATCCAATTACAAAATTTCAAGCAGTCTTGATCTTACTTTTTTCATAAGTCCTATAATGTCCAATTTTACAAAACACTAAGAGTTTCAGTATATCAAAGTAATAATAGAATTGTCTATGTCTTTTATTTATTTAACAAAAGCTTAAAAATTCCTCACTGTGTTGTCAGGTACTAATTTACATGATTTCCACAAAACCATCATTTACTTGTAACAACCCCAGAAGCTGGCGGCACCCTTAGCCCTCCTTTTATGGGCAAAAAAAGCTGGGGCAAGAGAGTTAGGTAACTTGTCTGACCTCTCACAGCTATTAAGCAGTGAACATCAGGATTCAAATCCTGGCAATCTGGCTCCAGAGCCTGAACTACCAGATCATCCCACTCACAAATTGTTAGACAAGCAAGTACTCACAACAGGCAACATTCCTTCCTTCTCAAAGGACGTGTCGCTAGGTTCCAATTCTTTCTTCACTATTGCCTAGCACACAACTATTTCAAGGTTTTAACATTCCTCACACACATTCCAATCACCTTTTGTCTATTCCTCAGACAGCTTAGGTAAAGGGTAGTGTGGTAAACGAGAAAAATGACACTCTCACTCTAGACATCAAGTCTTTCTTTTTGAGTCAGGTTGTTAGTACTTAGTTCAGGTTGACCTTGAATTTAGTACGTAGCCCAGGTTGGTATCAAACTTGCAGTGATCCTCCTGTTTCAGATTCCCAAGAGCTAAATTACAGGCATGTGCCAAGATGCCAGATATACATCAGCTTCTGAGTCTGGATTTGGTCATTCATCAAACTGGATGGCCCGGACGAGCACACTCCTTCTGAGAGCCCATTTCATTTTCTAGGTGATCCTTAAGCTCCCTCCCTACAATACACCCCAGGGTCCTCTGGCTAAATGTAGTTTAAAATGTAGCTTATCCTGCAATTAAGGAACCCTGAGGGGAAAGTTTAAACTAGTATTGGTAACTCCTAAAATTTACCTCCTTTTTAACAAACTTTCTGGGAAATTACAGCTGGGGAAACTCCATTGGAATGAAAGGAACAGAATCCACACAAGTTAATTAAACTGTGCTCTTTGCAGCCTGCTAAAGTTCTGTCAGTCAAATATTCTCAAAGATACTATGCACTCCAGCTTCTCTAAACAAAGTTCACTCCTTCCCAAACCAGTCTCATTGTTGGGACCCCTCGTTTTCAGTATCAAACCTTAGCACCGCCCCAAACACATGCACACACATATTACCTGCCATAGCTGTTCCTGGAGTGCTAAGTGCCTGTGGGATATGAGGATAACCAGGGGGTGGCATCACAGAAGGAGGGAGATTTTGCCTGGAGTCTATGTACAAATTTCCTAATCAGATTAAAAAGCAGAATGAGGGGAAATATGTTACCATAAATAAAATAAACCAAGCATTAAAATCTTAATGCAATTATTGACTAAAACTAAATTACAGGAATAAAGTGAGGAGGGAGAAGGACAAATGATTCCTTTCAGATGCTAAATCTCTCCCAAAAAAGTAAAGTTCACCTTTTGAACAGGGTGCCAGGATGGGTGTGAGTATACTGCTACTAATTCCAGTGCTGTCCTAACTCTGTAAGTTATATCCACTGCTGTTGTCACATACCTCACTGCAATACAGTTCAAAAGTATTTCTGTATCCATTACTTCATCTGACCTTCCCATTAGGCCCAAAGGGAGAAGACAGGATTGTTACCCCCGTTCTTCAGATGAGGCAACTGAAGATGAGAATGGCTGACCCAACTTGCCCAAAAGTACATGGATTTGACGGGCTAGGACTAGAATCTTAACCCAGTGATGGTGAACATATGGCACATGTGCCACAGTAGGCTGTTTGTATCATTGTAAGTTTTAAAAGGTTCACTATTACTGCCATAATTCATGAGCTCTTTCTACTACTCCCTGTTTCTCTGTTACTCTAATTTTCTTAACGCGGAAGTAGCCCAATTGTATGCGAGTTAGTTAATTAACAAAGTGAATGGCAGACACAAAGTAACAGTAAAGATAAGGTAAAAGCGTCACACCAAGCAAAAGTGATTAATATTGTATTATTTATGGAGTATGTAGATGTGAAAACATAGATCTCATTCAAATGGTATTTCATAAGGTTTTAATGTATTTTTGTTGACAGAAGCCATCAAGTGTAATAGCTCTGAGATATGAATTATGTGGAACCATAAATCAAATAGGGAGGGGAACAAATCATATAAGCCCTCCTCAAATAACTGATAGAAAGAAGGCTCATAAAACTGGTACATATTGTAAGGAACATTTAGAATTTTGGAAGGATCCTTCTCTAAGAGTTTCTAGTATTTCACACAAATATGTAAATTTGAATTATAGGAATTCTGTAGTGAAACAAACAAAAACTCAAATATTTCCCATAAAAAATTTTGCAAGGCACACTGAATTTCACTTCTCACACATTTTCATCTATCACTGGAAAGCTAGATCTGTATTCAGGCTTAAGATGGACTCCAAGACAACCTCACCTAACCCAACATCTCTTCATGTAGCTGCAGAAACAGGGCAAAAGAAGAAATGAGACAACCAGGAACAGAATCCCAAAATTCTGACCCCTGTCACCACCTCCCAAGCAACATGCCTTTATTTAACATAGTTCTGTGAGAACTAAGTTCTCTGACTGATCATAGTTGACTCAGGAGAAAAGTTAAGCTATAGATCTAACATTCTAGGGAAGGTGGGGTCCCCTTTCCCCAAGTGCAGATCAGTCATCATATGCATGCCTAGCACACTTTCCAAAAACTACACCAGATCATAGCACTCTGAATAATATGGTCACTCATTTATGATAGCAAGACATGATTTTTTTTTTCAGTCATTAAACTTTCCATTGGCCCATTTTGTATCATGGTAATGATTTGGCCATGTGACAAAAACTGACATTGTAAGATTACTTAAAGCTCAGAATATGGTCATTTCCTATACTTCCTATGTCCTTAAAAAGTCTTAGCTCTTTCTATGTATCCTTAAGAGTTCAAATCACAACCAAAAGACAAAACTGATTTTCAATTTTGTTTCATTTCTTTTTTTATTGGTTTAGTAATTCTGACTTTAAAGGTGGAAGGGTAGAAATTAGAGAAGAGTTATAGGAATAAAAGGACATCTACTTAAAAGATACTTAATTTTCTGAAATTCTGCCACATTCCTAACACTTTTATTTTCACATAAAATTGCCATGACTTCTCATTTTTTCTGTATTCTCATTATAGAGCCCAAACAATAAGAACTTGCCATTCTATCTACTCTTCAAGAGAACTTTGAACTTTAACATTCTTAGAAAACATAATGCATTTTGATTTTCACCAAATTTATACTTTAAATTGATGTAACTTTATAACTGTGTTCTTCTACATATCTTTAACACACATGCTGATGACAATACAAGGTTAAAGATCACAGAGGAAAGTTAATTATTATAATAAATCACATAAGGCGCCAACAGAAAAAGACAGCCTTTTTACCTCAATTTTTTAAAGATACATATAAATTTGCTACCATTCATTTCTTTCAAATTGAAAGATATAAATGGATCACTGTCAGTGATCAACATATGAAACTACATAAAACAGTCAGTGAATTTTTTATGAGACATAAAAACAAGGTACCAGGCTCTTACCTGTTCCAATGTGTTGGGAAGGCTTTGCTGGATGCATGGCACCATGACAAACATTTTGCTGAACATTACTCTGTGAGTGGATAAGGCCAGTTTGTGTAAAGAACTGATTAAGGGAAGAACAGAGATCAGCAAACTGAACCTGATCTAAAGACCAGTTCTTGAGATCTGCCTGTCTCATACTCTCCATCAGACCTATGAGGAAAACATTTGATACACAGTTAGAATAGTTCTGCAAACACTGCAAGAAAAATAGCAAGATATGGTTTTTTCAGCCATCACATTTTCCACTGGCCCATTTCACATTACAGTAATGACTTGTCCACACAACAAAAATGACACTTTAAGATTATCCAAAGCCCAATATTAAAAAGTATGTCCAAATTTGTTTCAGAACTCTTGTCTGCGATCCTCGGCTATATCAACTAGCCAAAATATTTTATTAGGAATTTTACAGTGTTCTTTTTAAAGCTTACTACCAATTGCAGCAGAAATGGCTTTTGTATAAAGAAATGTTTGTTCTACTACAAAGAAACTTACAATCTCCTAAAGAAAACAGGATTGTGTGTTTTATTGTAAGTCAAAAAGAACCAGCACTCACCTTGGAACTGGGAAAGGTCTACATCTGACCAATTAACACTGCTGGCAATTCTACAGCTTTCTTTTAGCATATCAAGTGTGGCATACCAATCATTTGAAACACCTGTAAGATAATATTAACAATAATTCTAAGAAAGTTTAAGGAACTTGTTAAAGGGCGACAATAATGATCTTATTCCTTACATTGGCTGATCCTTGTCATCTTAGAAAGGAACTTGTACCCTTTACATTAGATGTGGGATGATCTGCTCTTTGAGACCAGCAAAATGGATATTATTTCTCCCTGTTTGACAAATAAAAGAACTGAACCCAGAGGTGGCATAATTTAATAAGGATCCCACAATGAATTTAAGACTTAACAGAAGTCTTTTAACCTGTGGTATGCAGCTTGCAAACTGCCATATCACCTTATAATGTAAAACTTGAAGTCATTCTTTTCATTTGTACAATACAAATAAAAGACCAGGCAGGAAAATTCATGCAAATAATATTTCCCCCTATTTAAAGTTTCATTTTTCTTTCTTCTTATGATCTTAAAAGATAAGCTTGCCATTACTTACAAAGGAAGGTTCACATTTAGAAGTAATAGACAATAAAATGTAATACACTGACTTAAGGGAGATAGATCAGATCTTATTGAAAGAGTGGATCCTTCTTATGAGGCAACCTTAGAAAAGCGAAATGCCTTAACATAAGTACTTTTGACAAGGTAGTAAAAGAGAAGACTGAGAATTCTGTGAGAAATGCCAGTGAATCTTGGTCAGGACACTTCTAGACAGGAATGGTATCTCCTAATGTGATGTCACTAGAATTTAAGACTCCATAGTCTGTATAACCAAGTGGTCATCAGTCCAACTCTTGATGTAAAGCAAGCGTTGCCTTTGATGAGACGGTAGTAAACAGAGAAAGAAACTCATTCTTTTAGTGACTTGCTAAGTTATTCTGGTAATGTTAAGATCACTTTTTTTTGCTGCAACATTTTTTTATTAATAAATATCCACTAATAGCTATCTGACTTATAAAATTTTGCCAATTATAGATTTTTAAAAATAAACAATGAACCAGAGTCAGAAATAATGTGACCCTGATCTCAAGAACTAGCAATTCAGGGAAAACTTTGTTGGGGAAAGAGACTAATGTCCCAAATGAGCCATAAACATTTAAAGTCTATCAGACTCAGATCCTCTAGGCCATCAGAACTTCATAGATAAGGAGAAATGGATCCTCAACTTCCATACTTTTTCTGTTTTTAACAACCTACTCAGTTTGATCTTACCAATGTGACGTATATAATTCACAGGTATAAATTATTATCACCACTGCAGACCTCAATGACAAGGTAGGTATGACCAGATTTCCATAAGCTTCTACCAATACCCTGGTCTCTACTTTTTAGTCTATCCCCCAAATAGTAGTAGTAATAGTCTTAAATTTCTGAAGAATATTTTAATGTTTAAAGGCAGACAATAGTAATTGACTTTAAAAGAGTTTGAACTGTTGACTAAGTTAAAGGTACACTGTTAAGCATTTTTGCATCTTACTTCATTTAATCCTCCTCCAAAAATATATTACGTTTTCATTTTGTAAATATAGAAAGTTTCAGAAAAATTTAAGCTTTGTATAATAGTCAAAATAGAAATACAACACAAACCACCTAAGTTCATTTTCTTGACCTTAATCAAAGTGCCCAAAACAATGATTAATTTTTTTTTTTTTTTTGGTCTTTTTCATTTTTATCGGTACTGAGGATTGAACTCACGACTGCCTGCTTGCAAGGCAGGTGCTTATGCTGCTGAGCTAAACCCCCAGCCCCCAACAATGATTAATTTTTAAACGAAGACTGAGATATAGCACTGTCTAGCATTTAGAAATCTTTCTTCCAGGATAAAAATCTATGAGTGGTATGATTTATAAGTAGTCATCTAGGCAAGCTTAGGAAAGGATGGTACTCTGCATAACTTCACTCACCCTGCAGTCCATATGCATAGCACAAAGACTGCCTGGCCTGTGAGAAGTGCCAGAAACCATGAGAATATATCTTACGAGTAATATATACTTTTAAAAAGTAAGATATAAAGAATATTTCTTCCCTTGCAATCCATTATTCTATTAGATAATTGGCAGCAATGGTAGAAAAGAGAGACAACATTATGAATACTTAGATGAAAGCACATTGATCGAGACAGTTCATATCTGTATTCTCAGTATCATCTTCATAACAATACTGCATAGCATTCTGCTTTTACAGATGAGAAAATAACAAGTTTAAAAGTAATTTGTCCAAGGTCACAAGAGCCACAATGAAGTTTCAAATACAAGCTTTCTGGCATAAATCTACTCTTTCCTTATAATCTGGAGGCATTACAAGACATTGTAGACAGACTATGCATTCCATTCTTCTTTCCAATGTTCACTGGACAAAATGGTAAAAAAAGTTAAAATCAAAACCTACAAGGGTTGCTGAGTTTACCTATGCTGCCACAATAAATTTAGTCAAGAAAATCTCTAGATGAACCTATGGATTAGGTGAGTTACAGTTATAGGATTACAGCAAGAAAACACAAAAGAAGATAGGTGAAAAGAATATTGCTAATAAATATCACAAAGTAACAAAAGAACAGATTTAGTTCACATTTAGCCACACATAAACCAGGAGATGGAAACTTACCAGAATTACAGGATACCTGTTGTGGAGGTGCCTGGTGTGTCAGCGTCTGATGCTGATGGTTCGGATGGTGCTGTATGTGCTGATGTGGAGAGGGGTGTTGAGGGGGAGGTGACTGGAGCTGGCTGTGTTGCTGTGGGTGAGGGGCTGGGTGCTGAGGACGCTGTGGATGTGGTGGTAAACCATGCGGTCGGTGGGGTGTGTGTGGAGACGGCTGTGTGTGCATCTGAGTATGGGACAGAGAGACTTGTGTGACCGAATTACTGCCTGTAGTGTTGAGGCCACTACCGTGACTGTTGGACAGGGTACTTTGGTTGCTGTGCGGATGAGAGCTCACTGTGCTGCTAGGAGAGTGCTGGTAGGAACATGAACTGTGGGACTGCTGGGAAGATTCAGAAGGGATGTTCATCAAACCTAAAAACAGAGAGCAAGATCATCTGTAGTCAAATTTCTGTTGTATTTTACAACAAACATTTGCCAAAATTGTTTACAGAGCAGTGCATAGCCTAATGGAAGAGACAGACACTTAAGATTATGTCCAACAATCTAAGAACTAACAAAAAAGTATACAAAGGATTATAGCGATCTTGTTCCTTGCTGTTTAGCTAGGAAGAGGGTGGAGGAGCTGGAGATACAAAGAAGCCTTTCTTTTTTTTTTTTTACGCATTTTTTTTCCCTTTTTTCTTTTTATCGGTACCGGGGATAGAACTCACGACCACCTGCTTGCAAAGCAGGCGCTCATGCTGCTGAGCTAAATCCCCAGCCCCAAAGAAGCCTTTCTTGACTTAAAAGTTGAATAAACATTAGAAAAACAGTATGAAAGGTGTTGGGTTACACTCACAATGGTTCCCTGATATTTACAGATAGATAGTAAACCCAAGTTTTTGACTAAAAACAAAACCCATCTATTCCTAATCTCTTACCTCTTATCATCCCCAAAACATTAAATCCATTAATCTCAAAGTGGCTTGAATCCTTAAAACTAAGCAAAACAAAACAAAATGGCCATTTCCAGTATTCTTCATTACTCTCATGGAACTTTTTTTTTTTTTGATGTTGTACTGGGAATTGAATCTACTCTCTACATTGAATTATAACCCCAACTCCCTTTTAGTTTTTATTTTGACACAAGGTCTTGCTATATCATTAAGTTACCTAGTCTTGGCTTTAACTTGTTTTTCCTCCTGCCTCAGCCTCCCAAAGTGCCCAGATTACAGGAAGGTGATTTATGGAACATTTTTGAAATATGTGGAGTTTAGAAGTTAAAAATACATAGTTTATAGTACCACAAAGAGGATTAAAGCGTCTCATTGCCACTAATGTAAGGTTAATTTCTCTGAGCCACAACTGCCTCACTTGTAAATGGGTACAAGGACAGCACACTGCTTCACAGAGCTGCTGTGAACGCTAAATGCCATAGGGCAAGTGCAAAGAGCTCAGTAAAGGTTAGTTTAGTCCAGAAGTACCTAATGTTAAAATAATGTATGTTTGGTGTGCAGGTAGTTAATAAGTCTTTTTATAATATCTGGTACATAACTACTTTCATATCCTAAAGATGGTCCATACAGTATTTTGGTGTACCAAACAGTTCTCATGTTTATCCCTAACAGTAAAACTGAACTTGAGTACTCTGAAAGATAGCTTAAGTTTTATAGAGATAAGAAGAGTTCATGCCTGAGTTGAGGTGCAGCTCAGTGTAGAAAGTAATGTCCTAGCATGCATGAAACTGTAGGTTTTATCCATAGTGCTACACCTACACCACACACAAAGAAAGGAAATTTAAAAACGGTTCTTGTACTGGTTTGGAAAACCCATTCACAGGGAACAGACAGGGCTATTACAGTAGGATAAAAGAAAGCCATGTTTTCATTACCTCTTTCCTATGAAATTCTAACTATGAGCCAGGCATCACAGCACACATCTTGGCTTGCCAAGGCAGAAAGATTACAAGTTCGGTGTCAGCCTGTACTACATATGAGATCCTATCTCACAAACTAAAGCAAACCAAACCCAAACCCTACCATTTTATGAGGGAAGTGAAATGATGAGTAATCTACAGCAACATTTTTTTAATCTGAAATTGAAATTTGATGCTAAATTATTTTTAAATAACACCAGACAAAACAAAATATCTTTCTAAACTACATAAAAAGGATAAAAGTACTGTTTTCAAATGAGGAAAGGGAGGCTGCTATATTTTCTTCCTCATCTGCATATTTTTCCTCCATCAGCCTCTGAACCCTTACAAAAGTGAAGGGCTCTCAAAGGAACAATTTGAAAACCAATGACCTAGTCCAATGTTATTCATTTTACAAATAGGGTTACTTAAATCCAGAGAGGCAAAGTTACAGAACTTAGACCAGGACCAAGTTCTTACCAATGTTCTTCCTTTTTTTTAAAAAAAAAGTATAAATTACAAACATCTACTTTATTATTTTTGAAGTTTACTGGCACATTTTAGACGTACCACATATTCATATGTGTGACAAATTAATTCTGGGATTCAGAAACTGTCACCATTGTTTTTCAAAAGCTAGTAATTTTTTTCATGGTCATAAAGTTGGAATCGCTTAGAAAAGTCTTTTTCTTTTTTTTTAAAGTTTGGCAGTTGTGAGGATGTCAACCCAGGGGCCTGCTCACACTAAGCAAGCACTGTACGTACCACTTAACTACATCCCCACTCCCGTTAATTCTTTTTACATGTTCATAGGTAAAATGTTTAAGACAAAATCAGAAAATATGACTCCTATTTCAAAAGTATTAACCAGAAAAAGTCACTTCATATACAAGCTATCAATATTCAGATATATATAAACATTGGTACATAATATTCATTTTCATGACAGTGATAAGCACTGAAATATAAACCATATAAGGACATGAATTTTTTTCTCTATTGTTCACTGCTCTACACAGGCAAACTGAATTGTGATGCTGTGTGCTGAATGCAAGCTTCCCTTAAAATCTGTATGTTAGAAATTAACTCCAATGTGACAGATGGTAGTAAGGGACGGGGCCTTGGCAGACATGGCAGGGTACACCTGTAATCCTAGCTACTTAGGAGGCTGACGCATGAGGATTGCAAATGTGAGGCTAGCAGGGAAAATTTAGCAAGATCTTGTTTCAAAATGAAAAGAAAAAGGCTGGTGACACAGACCAGTACTAAAGTGTTTGCCTAAAATAAATGAGGCCCCAGATTCAATCTCTGGTATGAAAAGGGGGAGGTAGGAGAATGCTTTAGGATATGATTAGAAATTAATATCCTTTTAAAAGGACTCAAGGGAGTTAGCTAGTTCTTTGTCCTTCTGGCTCAACTGCCTTATAAAGATACAGTGTGCAGCTGCTGCCATGATCTTGGACTTCCCAGCCTAGAAATACATTTCTGTTGTTTACAAACTACCCAGTCTCAGGTTATTTTGCTGTAACAACAGGAAAGGAATGCGACATTGAGTATAAATAGTTAATATGATAAACAATTAACTATGAAATGCTTCAATGGTAGAATTTTCAATAATTTCTGACTTTTATTCTGTGGAAGAAAAGTAATGTGACATTTTGATCCTATCAGATGTCTAACTAAAATTAAACAGTAGCTAATGACACAAAAACACATTACAGCAATAATCTAGCATTTAGTTGAGAAATAATACTGCATTTCAATTAAACATTTGTAGGATTAAAATGTAATTTATGTGTGTTCTGTAAAATAACCAGAGCTTATCAGTACGTGTACATAACATGTGCCATACACGAAATCACAAACTTAGTGCTACTATAACTCTCTCTGCATAATACAAATCAAAAAGAACAGGACCACACCACTCAGTTTACATTACACGTATCACTAATTATGGCAGTCTTTTTATGTGGCACAGCAGAATTCCTCAACACTGCTCCCAGAATGCTAGTAATCACATAAAGTAAGCATGTAAAACCTGCCATTCCTATGTTATGATATACACATATACAGTGCATAGTAAAGCCATAAAACATGTTATTATTCAACTGTGATCAGGATGATAACGTCCTAAAACTAAGGAAGTAATTTCTGTATGAAAATAATTAATTGAATATTTTTCAATAAAAATTTGTTACAAAAAAGACTTAAACTCACCTTGTTGACTAAGTGACTGCTCAAAAACTGACTTGTAAAGGCTCCGAAATGAGGCACTAAGATCTTCAAAATTATATTCTGAGAAAAGTAGTTGCTTGTCTGGAAGGTTATACTGTGGCTGCTGCTGAGGAGTTAATGACTGAGAGACTGGTTCTGGATGGTTTGTCACCTGAGAAAAGAAAATACAGGTAACTCAGTAGCTCTGTACTATAAGTGGTTTGCTACATGATGCATGTAACTGGAATCAATTAGTGCCAACACTGAAATCCAAAAGGAACTGTTTTTGGACATTTGCTAGATGGGTACACCTTTATAAGTACAGAAAGCAAAATGATTAACATGGATCTTAAAGAACCACAGAATCTAATTTAACATCTATATTCATAGAGAGAAAGAGTTCAAAGAAACTAAATGACTTGACAAATCTTACCTCTAAATAAAAAAAACCAGTAACCATGAAACACCTAAAGAAGATCCTCAAGAAAAAGAAGAGATCGGGGCCTTGAGCTACTCAGGAGGAAAGGGAACACCATAAATACCGAAGAAAGTAAGAATTACCTTTGGAGGCAGTACAACTAGAAATAAAATTAGCAAAAGACACTCTCGGCTGTATTTCTTAAAGATTATACCAAAAAGTTGGAAGTTACCATTTGGTTAGTATTTTGAAAATTAAAGCCTGAAAGATTAAGGTGTGAACATTAACATAAGATGACAAGTGGTCTTCTGAAGAACAAAGTCTCACCTGTCCTATCTTGTGAAAGGCAGCTATGAGGAAGCTTTTCTACCTTTCTCATCTGCCTCAGGCTCAGTGAGGCATGGAACTCTCAGTGCCTTGCTCCTAGGAAAGGCATAGCTAGTCACACTACTACTTAACCGCAGTATGGAATCTGTTCCTCCACTACAGAGTGACTTACTACTTGTGTAATCTGTCATCTGGATCTTGTGGTTTGGTACTGTTGTGTGGGATTCAGGGAATAGACACCATGTTAATCTGGCTTATCCTGCACCTGTGTATCATTTACATAGACTTAAATATTTTATATGCTAAAAGTCTTACACAGATTTTACATTTAGTCTACATGAGTAATAAAACTGTCGTATTACACATGGATTCAGCAGGCTCAATCTATAGTGCACATGACAAACCAGCAGCAGCTACTCCACCATTGCTTAAGGACTAGCTGACATCTTATTAAAATGAAATAGCAGTTTGTAGTGTCTAGTTGTCAATAGGGAAATGTGATCTGCTTTAATGACTGGCATAACTTAGTTCTATAAATGCTTCTTTAACTTTTATTATATTTTGTGATACTGAACTCAGTGTCCTGATTTACACTGACCTCAAGATGATTTTACACTTAAAATTATTTTTTAAAAATCAACTTAAATGATTAAACCTTTGCTTATTTTATTTCAGTGCATATTTAATTTGCTTCTTGACCAACTAAATATAATAGGCCCCCTGCATCCATGGGTTCCACATCAATGAATACCAACCACAAACAGAAAATATTTGGGGGGCAGAGGGCTGCATCTGCCCTGAACAGGTACCAACCTTTCCCCATGTCATTAGTCCCTAAACAGTATTGTCAGTGTAACAACTGTCTTATCACATCTATACTTCCTTAGGTATTATAAGTAATCTGGAGATGATTTAAAGGGAAGGGGCCTAGGGATGTAGCTCAGAGACACTGCCTGCTGGGCAAGCACAAGGTCCTGAGTTTGATTCCTGGTACCAAAAACCAAACCAAACTAAACCAAGCCAAACAAATTCAAACCAAGCCAAACCAAACCAAACCAAGCCAAAAGTACATGGAAGGGTGGGAATAGGATATATACAAACACTGTGCCATTTTGTATAAGAGACTGGAGTATTCTTTAATTTTCTTATTTATTAGGAGTCCTAAAGCCACCCCACCCGCACCTCACTGAAGCGGGATTACTGTAATTTTCAGGAGAAACACATGAAAACAAGGGTAATGTACTTCTGCATATCAAAGCCTTCAGCTATAAATGAAAATACACCTGGGTATAATACTGTTATTCCAAACCTAGAACTTATATCTTCTGACTAAAGAGAAGCCTGATCTGTGTTTTTTATATTTAACATTTCTTCTGCCAGGTATTATATGTGAAATTATTACGGAAATTTTAAATATATCTTAATATAGTTTTTTTCTCATTACTTTTTCCTAGGTTTCAAAAATCCTGTTAACTTGTTTCTTTTGAAAGCTGCATGTCTACAAACTTTTTATTTTCTTCCGCAGGACCACCTGTAATTCTCGGTTCTCCCTATTTACTGTGCTCTTTTATATAATTTTGTTTCCTCTGAATTCTTGAGAGTATTTTTTTTCAGAGCACTGACAGCAGTTTTGCCAGTCAATTTTGTTTTCTATATTCAATGTAAACTTTAATTTTGCTGCCTGAATTTTTGTTTCCTGTGTGTTATTTTCTTATCATATGTTCCTCCCTTTGTCTTTCTGTCCTATGGGGTGTTTCTGGTTTTTGTTTGTCTGATTTTCCTCCCAATTTACTCATTGTGGAACAGGAAGTGATCTGGCAAAATTGAGTTTGTAGTGATGAACAGCACTGTATTGTGGAGCTCTTAGACTCTGTCCACTGCCCAATGATAAAACAGAAGCCAGATGGTTTGGAAAGAAATTATCAGATAATTCAAGGATTGTGTTCTTGTAATAGGTAACAAATTAGAAACAAGAACACTTACACAGGTCACTCTTTGGCTTGGCTTTGAATCCCTTTCTCAGACTGACAGGTGGAGGACAAATTAGTACATATATCTCCTAAGCTTTTTTCTCGAGAAGTATAGAGTATCATCAACTATAGTTCCACCAGAATAAAGCCCATTTTTCCTGCTATAAATGATTTTAGATGCAGAATAAAGTACATCAAAGTATGTGACATAGCATAAATGTGTATTTATACTAATGTAAAATGTAAATATCAAGTTAAAAACACTGTCAAGGTAGAAGTCTGGCCTACTTAAAAACTGACTAGTGAAAAATACGTATCTTCATTTTAAAATATGGATTTCAGTTATATTTGCTTCAGTTTTAAGCAGTACATGAATACCTAACAAAAAAAGCTAACTTTACTAAGACTTACCGGTGTGTAACTATGCACACTTCCAACACTGTTCAAATTAACAGATGCCAAACTCTGGTCTGAGAGACTGTTGTTAAGGCTACTGCGTGGGCTATCACTACCATCCTGATCCGTATTGTACAATGTTACCTAGAATGAAAAAGAATAACTAAACACATAGTTCATACAATAACAAGTACTTTTAAAACAACTATATAACTACTCAGTCAAGGATAAACTTGAGACTTTTATAAGTTAATGGATGCAATTTGAGATCATATTTACAAGTGAAAAAAATCAGACTCACATGTGTAAACATTGTATTGTCTCAGTGGTGTGAGAAATTGAAAGCACAAATAAGGTCTAGAATGTATAACTGTGAAATAGTTAAACAAATAGTAATTGTTTAAAAGGAAAAAAGAAGTAGGAGCGGGGGAAAGAGGAAAGGAAGGGAGAAAAATGCAAGGTAGCCACACTGTTAGTGTTTCTTAGTTCACTGAAAAGGGTTTGTGCTAATATCAATTGGAGAATTTTTATGCCCATATCTTTTTTTTTTTTGTACTGGGAATTGAATTTATGACCTTCCAGGCAAGCACTGTGCTACTGAACTATATATTTAGCCCCTATACCCGTGCCCTGAGCAACCTCTTTGAAGATGACAATATATACTCTATTAACTATTGTTATTTTATTATTTTGTTATGAAATTGTTTTACCTTTTTAAAATAAAATTAAAAACAGAGACAACTATATGAAAACAAAACTGAGCATATAGCAGGAAGACAAAAACATCAATGACCTCATGCTTAAAAATGCAAGGGTTTAGATGCACATTCTAAGATCTATAGTCACTGAACATACACAGGTAAACAAACACCTAAGATGTGCCACCATACTTACAGAACTCACAGCCAGACTAACCCATACATGAGCTCCCCCTGCCACACTGAGATGATCCTTACTGAAAAGGAACAAACTATTTCTAAAACCAGGGAAGGAAGTTGCACAGGAAAAAAAAAGAACTGATCAGTGGTGTTTCCTTTGTCATTTACTCCAAATTCATATCCTCAATGCCTACTTCATGTTCAACATGAAATAATTTTCTCAATATTTTGAAAACTAAAGGACATATCTGTATAGAAATACATTTATTCATCAGGAACAGTCAGTAATTAGAGACTATAGAGTTTTACTATTAAATATTTCTACAACGTTTATTTTTATTTCCAACCTTTGAGCAAAACTACTATCAAAACCTTAGGCATCACAAAAAAAAAAATACAAAACAAAAAAATTAAGGTAAGTATTTGTGTTGTATTTGTAAATGGAACTATAACTGTCCAACATACAAAACCATACATGAGTATTCTAATTTTTAGAAATAATATGCTTAATATACACATTAGACATAAGAGCTACTATGTGAAACTGTTGAACATGGTTAACTGGCAGAGGCTAGTACTCCTATGGACTTACACCACTGACAGAGTGTATTTTCTTTATACCATGGTTTAGTTTGTCTATAACAAACATTATAAATTTTAATTAGAAACCAAAAAGGTATTTTTAAAACAGAAAGCAAATTATCTTTCATGGTTCTGTTCAGATACTATCACTAACTTTTCAACATTCATACTTTCGTGAGGACAGTTAACCATTTAACAGGTTCCCCTAAGCATCACCTGGGCAACACTTTATGTACTATCCTGAGCATCTGGCATTGTTCAGGCCGGTGTCGTATCAGCCAGTTGATTCTTGTACTAAATAAATTATTTCTTGTTATCTTACAAAAATTAACAGAAAAAAATGTGAGTTTGGTCATGCTGCATTTAAATAATTGGACCAGCAAGTGGTTAATACACTTGACTTTAGAGTCTAACTAATGTGCAGCAAAATTTTAACCACTATTACATTAACCTTGAGTTCCCAATCAATAATCATGAATAACATAGTATTTTCTATATATAGTATATGATTAATGAGTATTTGGTGAATTTAGCAAACAACTGACCATCACTCTGTGTTAAAAATAGTAATGGATATGTTTCCCAAAATTATGCATTTTTTTGTTATTAACAACTCAAATTTTACCACAGAAAGAGAATATCAGTGGTTTTCCTTGAAGTGACAGGCTCACTTGGTTCATTTTCAAGAAAACATCTACCAAATTCTCAAGTTAAATAATCACTGTCAGCTATTTTTTCACATAAACACAGAGAAGTCAGGTTCAGCTTCCAATTCAATCATGCAAACCCTTGAAGTAACAAGTGCAATTCAGTCTGTAGAACTGTTTTTTATGCATCTTCCCCATAACCTCCCACAAAATACTAAAAAGATGTATGCACAATATTTTTCCTGCTTTACCAAAGGTAAGTAAAACTATTTTTAAATTAAAGTATGTGGCAGTGAAGAATACAGTGACCATGTGTACAGTCAGATGGTCCTGCCTTGATTGGTGCTAAGATGCTAGAGGTATACACACTAACTTTGTTCTTGCCACAGCTGTGAAATGCAAATATAAAGAAAAAGACAAATAATATATGCTATTATGAAAAGTTCTGACTCACACTCCACCCGGGTATCCACAGACTGAGGGTGCTTTGCGCCCTGCTGATACCCACGTCACCAGCACTCGTGTACCCCCCAGTCAGCACTCACAGATGGCTGCTGGCCCCCTACTCCTGGAACACCATGTGAACTTTTGCATTGCTGCTTGGCATTTCCACTTCTAGCCAATTATAAAGAGATCCACACAATATATGGTTTCCTTGTTTTCTACATTATATCTGTTAGTATTACTTCTTTCTTTCCATTTTTAGAAAAATATATTCTTTTGTCCCACTAAACTTCACTGTTTTATCATTTATATTCAGGTCTTAGATCCACTGAAAGATAGCACTTAATTCTGTTGGATGAGTGAGTCTGTCTATCCTTATGCCAGCACTGTGCCACACTTTCCATTACAGTTTTACTTTTAACATTTGGAAATGTAAATCCTCTAATTTTCGTATTTTTCTTCAATTATTGTTGAACATTTGGATTCCCATTCATATTTTAGGATCAGCTTGTAGCTTTCTAGACCCCTCTCTTCCTCCAACAAACATCTTTAAAAGTTTTATTGTATTAAATCTGAAAACCAATTTGGGAACTGCTAACTTCTTTGTAATAGTCTTCTACAAGAAAATGGTATCTCTTTTTTGTTTTCTCTCAGTAATTCTCCTAGTTTTCAGTATACAGTTTATCTTTCATTTATATTAGCATTTTGGATTATTTTTATTTATTTATTGAGAAAAAGTCTTACTAAATATCACCTGGGCAGGGTTCAAATTTGAGATCCTTCTGCCTCAGCTTCCTAGAGTGCTGGGATTACAGGCATGTGCTACCATGTCTGCCTGAGTATTTGATGTTTTTGGTCAGTATTTTTTTTTTTTTTTTTTTTGTACCGGGGATCGAACTCACCTCATGCTTGCCAGGCAGGCGCTTATGCCACTGAGCTAAGCCCTCGGCTATCTGATGTTTTTGAATGCTAATACAAATATTATCTTTTAAATTTTCTGATTGTGGGGCTGGGGATTTAGCTCAGCGGCATAAGCACCTGCCTTGCAAGCAGGCGGTCGTGAGTTCGATCCCTGGTACCGATAAAAATGAAAAAGACAAAAAAAAAAAAAAAAAAAAAAAAAATAAATTTTCTGATTGTGGCTAGTATAATAAAAATGTAACTGATTAACACTGATCTTGCATCAAGAGATCTTATTAAAGAGATTTTATATAAAGAAGCTTTAAAAGGCTCTAAAGTTTTTACCTGTACAGTCATTTTGAGTTTTCTATATAGACAACCACGTCACCAGTGAACAATGATTATAGGGTCTGGCTTTTATCATCCATGTATTTATGCATGTTCAATGTGTCTTTCAGCTTCTCCACAAAATAGCTGTAACTGTTGCTCTTTTCTACATTAACTCCATCATGCATGTCATTTCTGGGTCAGTTTTGACTGCTTGTTTTCTCCACACTGAGATTTTTTATGTCAAGTAAATTTTAATTAGGTACTAGACATTGTGATTTTTACTTTGTTCATGACGCATTTTGTATTCCCATAAATGTTGAGTTTCTCATTTGTTGATTATTGCTATTTTACGTAAGTATTTGCTACTTCACTGATTTTTTTTTTTTGGTACCAGGAATTAAACTTAGGATCACATGCTTGCAAGGCATGTGGTGTTCTGCTATATGCTCAGTGACTTCACTTACTAACTTTTGCCTTCCTTATAATTATGTTGTTGTTCTGCTTCTAGATGCTTACATTTTTACTATTCAACCTTTGTTTAGTCTTGTTGTATATATAATTAAGGCTATGATTTTAACTAGATCTCATAGGCCTTGATATGTCCTATTTGTATTTTTCATCAAAGTGTTCTATTTTCTACTATTTCTTCAATCTATGATTATTTAAAACTGTAACGCTTAACCTGCAAATTTTGGAGTACTTTCCTGGTACTTTTATTACTGCTACCTTAATTCCACTGTAATGGAAAATAAAGTGTATCATGTCAGTCTTCTGAAAACTGATGAGATTCCCTTTAGGACCAAACATAGATCAATATATGGTTATGTAACTGTTCAATGTATACTTTTAAAAATATGTACTTTGGAGCTGGGTGTAGTGGTGCATGCCTGTAATCTCAGCACTCAGGAGGCCAAGGCAGGAGGATCACCTTGAGTTCGAGGCTATCCTGGGCTATATAATGAGTTCAATGCCAGCCTGAACTACATAGTAAGACCCTGTCTCCAAAAACCAAACCAAACCGTGTTTTGGGGTGGGGTGCTGGGAATGAAGCTCAGAGGTGGAGTGCCTGCCTAGCGCACTCAAGGTCCTGGGTTCAATCTCCAGTATGTCAATAAAATATTACATTGTGCAACTGTTGGATGCAACATTATAATGTAAGTCAGGTGGATCAAATTTCCTTTTTGTGGTTCCAACCTCCACCTTTAATGGAAGTTTTGTTTGCTGTCTTAAATTTAGCCTACTTGTTCCAACAGTATACAGAGAGAAATGTCCAATTCTACCACTGTGCTACAGGATTTGTCCATTTCTTTTTTCAACCACATCACCTTTTGAGACTATGTAATTAGATACAAAATTTAGCATTAGGCTTTGTTATCTGCTTTTCTTTCTTTCTGTTTTGTTTTGTTCTGGTCTGAGACAGGATTTCACTGTGCAGTTCAGGCTATCCGCAAACATAGCAAACCTCCTGCCTCAGCCTACCTTGAGTGCTGGGATTACAAATCTGGCTGTTATCTGCCTTTCTTAATAAAACATCTCTACTAATACGTCTACTCTTTGTTCGTTTTCTTCTCTCTTCTTGCTTACTTTTTAATTAGTCAAAGAGTCATCATTTTTCGATACCACTTGCATATTCTTTTACTACTTTTTAGGAGCCAAGAGCAGTGGTTCATGAGGTATGGAACCTTGATCAACAATTTACGAAAAATTTTAGAAGTTCTGGATGATATTACCTTCTTCCAAACAGCATTTAGTTTCCTTCTTGCTAGAATAAAATTCTGTATATTACTCTAAAAAGTTTATAGACTCATCACTTTTTAAAAATCCATTTTATTTCAAAGCCAAAAAAATAGTATTTCAAAACATGTCAATCAGGGGGCAACAATGGCACATACACTGTGCACTGCTATCCCTAAATCATTCATCCAGAGCACAAGATTGAGTGTTCTGGGAATGCAATCTGCAGCAGCACAGAGAAAATGAGACAGATAAGAAAAAGGAGGAGGCCTTTAATGTGAGCACAGGAGAGCTTCACGGGGCAGGGGGTACAGAGGCTCTCAAATGAGAACAAGGAAGGGGCTGGGGAAGCAGTTTGGGAGGTGGGCACAGTGACATACAAACTGCTGATTTGAAGGAACATCTGCCTGTGTTAAAACAGGAGACAGAAAGATTTACTGGGGGCTGGAGATGGAGGCTTAGGGAGGCTTAGTGGAGGTTGGGACTGAAGAGAGCTTGGCACATGCACAAAAAAGGGAAAGGGAGGTTTATCTCTGGGTCCGGTACCAAGTTGGGAAGATGTCGCTAAATTGCAGGCTAGCAGACTATATCGAAGACATATGCACTCAATTGTCTGAACGTTACTAGCACAAATCTTTCTCTTCAATGACCTCAGAGAAATCAGTAGTATAACTATCTTAACTATCACACACACACACACACACACACACACACACACACACACACGTTTCTTTTGGTTTCTCACACTAATGAGACAACATATTTACAACACGTGTGAGTCTGATTTATTTCACTTATGAGTATGGTCTCAAGTTACATCCATTTATCTATAAATGTCTCCAGTTTATCTCTCTTTGTGGCTGAATAGTACTCCACTGTATAAAAATACCACATCTTTCTTATCCATTCCTCAGTTGAAGAGCATTTAGGTTGCTTCAAAAACTATTACAAATAGTGCTGCTATGAACATGGGTATATATATATATATATATATATATATGTATTGCTGTAATATGATGCTTTTAATTTTTCTGGGAAGATATCCAAAAAGGTAATAGCTAGGTCAAATACAATCCAATTTTTTTGAGAAATCTCCACAATGATTTCCTCAGTGGTTGCACCAGTCTACACTCCTAGCAGAGAATTTCTTTCTCCCCACAGCCTCTCCAGCATTTGTTATCAGTTGATTTCTTGATAACAGCCATTCTTTCTTGGGTGAGGTAGAATTTCAGTGTCGTTTTAATTTGCATCTCTTGAATGACCAGTGATGTTGAACATTTTGTCATATATTTATTTGTTGTTTGTATTTCATCTTAGGAAAGTATACTTATCTTGTTGGGGCACATTTATAATATAAAAATACATTTATGAGATGGCAAACTTTTAGATATTTCATGATCAATTGGAGATCTTTGACCAAGTTTCTGTTTCTGCTTTTTCTGCTGAATTCAACTGACCTTGATGGTGTCTACAGCCCAGCTGCATATCTCAGATGAGAACTAAGTCACAATAATTAAGGCACTCAGGGGTAATTCAAGGGCCCTTCCCCAGAATGTTTTCATATTATGGTAATGCCCTTATCTGTGCTCAGCCTGTAAGGACCCCTCCCCTTGTTCCTAGAACATTTCTATTGTTTTAGAACTAGCCTGCTTGTCTATATATGACTCAATGTATGTAACCAATTATATAAAGTTTTGCTACTTGCCTTGTATCTATTGAAAGAGTTTTGCCCCAGAATAAGTTACAAAATTGGCAGTGGGAGGCTGAATCAGAGGATGTTTACCTTGAGGTCACTTCCTCCTTCCCCTATTACAACTTCCTTTTTCTTTTTCCAGTGCCGGCAAAAACAGTTCCAATCAGCTCCTCACGCATCATCAATGACCGCACTAAGCACCACTCTGGTCAAAGGTTACATATGTTCCACACCCCATATTCCAGTCGAAGGTGACAGCCCAGCTGCCAAGGGTTGTGTGCTCTTTCCCATGTCAACTTAATAAACTTGTTCATTTTGTATTTTTGTTTCTCTATTGTGCCAGAATAGTCTAACACCTATCACTTTTAAATTCTGTATGAACTAAATTTTTCCTAAATTCAGGGCTGTTGCTTTTGAGGAATTACCCCCTCAATAGTCCATGGATGTGAAAATCTAACAGTCCTCTGGTGTGAACGTTAAATGCTGCCTTCTTATCTCTTCAGTGTAGAGTAAGTCTTCCTTTATGCTTGGCTTGGTATGACTTGGGAATTTTCCCATAACAATCTCAGATGCGGTCTTTATCTGGCAGGACTGATTTTTTTGAGTTCTTTATGTTCAACTGTAATCCTTTGTCTGAGGTACAGTTGGCAAATATTTTCTCACACATTGTGGGTTGTCTCCTCACTCTGTTGGTGTTTTTTGTTTTTTGGGTTTTTTTGCTGTGCAAAAGCTTTTCAATAGGATGAGATCCCAGTTGATTCTTTGTGATAGTTCCTGTGTAGTCAGGGGTTTGTTCATAAAGTCTTTGCTTACACCAATGTCTTCAAGAGTTTTACCTACTCTATCTTCTAGAAGATGTAATGTTTCTGTTTTAATATTAAGATCTTTGGGGCTGGGGATTTAGCTCAGGGGCATAAGCACCTGCCTTGCAAGCAGGCGGTCGTGAGTTCAATCCCTGGTACCGATAAAAATGAAAAAGACAAAAAAAAAAAAATATTAAGATCTTTGATCCATTCTGATTTTAGCTTAGTGAACATGGTGAAAGATACGGGTCCAATTTTAATCTTTGGCATGTGGAGAGGTTCATCAATTTTGGTTTGCTCAAACAGAATAAAGTATTTTTCAGGTAACAACTTGGAAACCTAGGGTACTTGTCATTATTCTCTTTGTTGAAGGTCTGAACTACAATTTTTATCTCCTTTGTTTGGTAAGACTGCTAAATTCTGGCTAGTGGAAAATGTACTTTGTGATTGAGGTCAAGCACTCAAAACTAGTAGTTAGTAAATGTCTAAAGTACATAGTACAAAAAGTTGAAGTCCCTTCTGAAATTCCTCAGGGCCTTGGCTCCTCAAGATCCAGTTGTCTTATAGCCCTAAACTCCAATGTTGTCTCTCTGACTGGAAGACTGCTGTACGCTGTTTTGTCTAATCTGTAAAATGTTCCCAGGAAAATTTGCAAAGCTTATCTCAATTTGTTTGCCTTTTCTCATGAGTCTTGGAGGGGGATTTTATAGACTTGAGGACTTGTTTGATGTTAGCTATTCCATTACATATGAAAGAAGCTAGAAAACTTGTGCTCCTTTGACACCATGTTACTTGGTCAGAAAATCCTAGCATGAGTTATACTGCAAAGAGCAGTATCCTAACCTATGTATTTCATTAGATATTGTTCCAGCTAGCTGGTCATCATTAGAGATGATTTCTAGGAGTACAGATTTCTTGCCACTATTCACAAGGGTAGAGAAACTAATTTGGCAGGACTGCACTGAAATCCTAGGATTACCATTACCCACCAACAAACAAAGATAAACAGCCCATTCTCCCAAAGTGATAGTGGCCTGATAATTCCATAGCCTGCCTTGTGGAAAAAAAGCATTACTCTATACATATTAGCTGCCGATTCTCTTTCTACATTGGTATCTGACTGTCACTAAACAAAAAGAGCCTTTGACTACTACATTAATCCAATAATTTATTTAACTGTGAGTTTGTAAGGTGTGCATAAGAAGAATAAAAGATAAAAACAATGCAACAGCACTAGTGAGAGCCAGAAAGGAGAGGTGAAGAAGAGAAGGTAAAAGCTAAAGGGAGAAGACACAAACAAGACTGAAAGAGAAGATGAGTAGGAGGATGAAAGGTATATGGCTTCAGGGGAAATATAGGGTTGCACATAAGAGGAAACCAACACATAAAACTTAATTTACGAAACTCTCAAACCTTTTCAGAGTTGTGAGATATGAGACTTAAGAAATGATAATGAAAAAACATTTGTATCTCTCTAGATATCTAATCATTGAACATAAAGTTTTGACTCATATCACAAGATACCTCAATTATCACACACTGCTTCTGGATGTGTTCTTAGACTTAAATATCATAAAAACAGGTTGACTATCACTTCAATGAACTCTACTAGGTTGTCCAAATTATTTGTTTTACTAGATTATTCTGGCTCCCTGAAATCTGACAATTTTTTTAACCATATATATGAAGGGGTAATCAAAGTTCTGAAATAAATTGATTCAATAAGATGCTGGCTCAGAAATTCTATCCATGTGAACAGGCATAGTCAAGATTTTAAATTAATACAGTTTCCCAGTAAACAGCTTCTAATTTCTCCTGAGAAACATTTTCTTCTAATTTGTACATACCTTAAAACATTACAGAATTAACGTAAATGGCCATGAATAAAGTAAACAAATTTGTATCATCTATATAGATCTCTGTCACTATAAAGGCAAATTAAATATATTACTCAAGGACATTTCAAAAATGTTAAATAATAATGAAATTACTTTGTTAGTCACAGTGTTGATTGCCAGAGTTGGAGAGGCACTTCCCGAAATAATACACTCCATTCCCAAAGAATCTGAATCTATGCTATATGGAGTTGAGGCCTAAAATACAAGAACAAAACAAATAATTATTAGCTTATTTATCTAAGATTTTAACACAGTTTCAAGGGATTTTATTAAGTTCTCTAACATCCAGTTTTGTCCATTGTTTCTGAAAATACATAGCTACTGAAATACCTTTATTTTAGGATGCTACTGATCTGATACCACAAAAGTCACTGGTATAGCTATTCCCTAACAACTCTTTTAATGTGTTACAGGCTAGGCTGGCAAAAACTGTCAACAAACATCTATAGGGGAGACAGCTAGTAGTCCTCTAATATTCATTCTTTTCTTCTCCCTTTTAGTAACAGAACCCTATACCATTCCCTATAGCTACAGACTACCTTTTCCAAACTCATTTGTTGTGGCCACGTGACTAAAGTTGGCTAATGAGATGTAACCAGGAACAATGTGTACAATATCTCTCCAACAATTTACAGTACTGGGGATTGATACACTAAATTACATCCCCAGTCTATCCTTTAAAAAAATTATTTGACACGGAGTCTTTCAATTACCCAGGATGAGCCTGAATTTGGGATCTTCTTGCCTTAGTCTCTCATCTCAGAGTGCTGGAACTATAGGCATGTACCACCATACTCAACTATGTTTGTAAATTTTGCAACATGTCTCTGAAAGGACTTGTCCTGAAATCTCATTCTCTCTTGTTGTGGGCTGGCACAGAGACACAGTGGTCATTATGCTTAACCATAAAACTTAAGTATTAATACTCTGGAAAATGCTGAATAAACAAGATTGGTAAGAATCTGAATGATCCTGAGCAGAATTTATCTCCTGATCCAATCTGTCAGCTCAGACTTTCACCCGAGAGAAAAAGAAATTCCTCTTGTTTAAGCCACTCAGTTACCATTTTTTATTATTCTTTTGTGTTTAAGAGAATATTGTGAACAATATTCTAAATACACACACACACACACACAGTTTTATATGTGCTGTTCGTAGAGATAACATAAGTGTCCAAAAAAAAAAAAAAAAAAAACCACTGAAGGCTAGAGGAGAGGAAGGGGATTTAAAAAATTAAGATATATTATGTACACATACCAACTCCTCAGAAGGAATGTGATTATTACCCACAAACATGTACTAATTTTAAAAAAGGGTGACTTTCTGCATTTATTATTTTGAATACCCTCTCCCCTTGCTCCCTTCCATGAGCACCCAGGAGTTAGCCTCAGTGATGAAGTCAAGAAAGGTAAAGATGAGTACCGAATGGCAAGGAGGTCAGTGCCATGCACATTTCTCTTTGGAAAACACTGGACCCACACTTGACACCAACTTAACACAGTTTTAAAAGGTAATACTTATGGCTTGGATATAGCTCAGTGCTAAAATACTTGCCTAGCATACACAAGGCCATGAGTTACATATCTGGCACTGTGAAATAAAAAAGAAAAAAGAAAACAAGAGCAAAAAACCCAAAGATACCAAAATAGCAAAAGAACAATTTAATTGAGACACATTGCAGAGGTCAATCTCTTATCACTAAATTCCTTAGTATGGATTCCTTTCATCAGGTAATCTAAACAACCTAAGGGTTGTTTAGAAGAAGGAAAACATAAGCACTGAGAATGAGATGAAAGAGAAAAGGGATCCAGAAAAGAAGTTGAAAGAACCATAAAAATAGTTCTGTCGGGGGCTGGGGATTTAGCTCAGTGGCATAAGTGCCTGCCTTGCAAGCAGGCAGTCGTGAGTTCGATCCCTGGTACCGAAAAAGACAAAAAAAAAAAAAAAAAGTTCTGTCTACGGTTTGATTTTAGTGCCAGCCAACTGAGCTATATGTGAGTTAATACAGAGGACTCCTTTGGAAAACTGTTCCTCTAACTCAACTTAGTCATCTCAGTCAGACTTCTGGGTCATTAATTCTTGCTCTTTACTGGTATGAAAAGGGAAACCTGTGCTAAGATTTCATGCAAATCACTCAAACTTTTTGCTGGCTTCCTCCTATATAAAAAGAGGATTGTGCCACTGCCTTTAGACATTTAAGACCATTAATCAAGTAATTCATGTAAAACACTTAGCACTGAACCTGAAATACATAAGAAATCATAGATATTGTGCTAAACACTAGAATCTATCTGCCATTGATGCCAGAATATGCAAAGGAACACCCTGTACTAATTGATGAGAAAGGAAACACTTTTAATGATGCACTGAATTCCCTGAAGTCAGATTCAGTCAGTTATGATTCCTTAGTAAATTTTGAAAATCATGGATACTTTTATATTTCAATAGTCAGTAAAGGGCACTACCTCTACAAGCATAGATGTTCTTAATAGTAGATATTTTTATGCAGGTACATTGATTCTATATTATTAATAGGCAAGTACTTTGATTAGTAAAGCTAGTGGGTCTAGGCAAAATGATAAACTGTTATTACTACAACCATAAATTCAAATGGTAGACAAAGGTAGTATCAATGAACCTAATGTGGATAGTATCAGTCAGTCTGTGAAAGGTCCATTCTGGAGTTCTTATTCATTCAAGTTCCACTTGAAATAAGGCAGTGTAACACTGTTACAAACCAATCTTCTGCTATTAACAACTACAAACTATGGTAGCAGTGATAGTGGCTCAGCTACCTTAAGTTTCTAAAGAATAAATAAAACAGATATATTGTGGCAAAAAGTCAAAACTTGGGGAGATCAGCAACTGGATGAATTTCCTATTTCGCTGCAGCTCTGCCCCATGGTTGGATAGAAGCTGTGAGGTATGAAGACCTAAAACTATCTTTCTGTCAAGGGGAACAAGGGAAAGAGCTCAGGTTAAAATAACCACAACAGATAGAAAAGAGAATTCCATACTGGAAGAAAGTCAAAAGAGATTCCATAATTTTGTGTATTAAACACCAGAAAAGTTTTAGGCTGATTCCTAAAATACACAAGTACAAATTAGAAGAAAAAAGGATTTCAGTTCAAATTGGAGCCACTGCCTTGAGAAGACAAGAGGAAGAATTTACAGTTTGAGTCTAACGTAAGTCAATTCCAGCTAAAATAAAAATATCAATATTCTACAGAAGATTTTAACAGAATCTAGAGTATATAAAACATAACATCCACAACATCCAGAAACAATTCAACATTACTAACATAAGAAACAGGAAAATGGAGCTCATTTTTAAGAGAAAACCTAATCTACAAATGTCCATGCCAAAAGATGCTGGAATTATCAGATAAAGATTTTTTGGTTTTGTTTTTTTTTTTGTTTTGTTTTTGTCTTTTGATTGGTACCAGGGATCGAACTCAGACTGCCTGCTTCCAAGGCAGGCACTTATGCCGCTGAGCTAAATCCCCAGCCCTTGTTTTTGTTTTTTAAGACAGGGTCTCACTATGCAGTTGAAACTAGATCCTCCTACCTCAGCCTATCCAGTGCTGGGATTATAAGTGTGCAACACGATGCCCAGCTGAGACAAAGATTTTAAAGTAGGTATTATAATTATGCTCAATGAAATAAATACTTGAATGAAAATTCAATGAAAGAAGATAGTGAAGAGATAACAAAATCAAAAATTTAAAATGAAAAGTACATCTTCTGGAAAAAAAATCCGTGGGTGGGCTTTATTTTAAAATTAGAATAAAAAGAGTTGAAAGACTTGATAAACTCAAAGATCAATAAGACCAAGTATGTAATCTGATGAAAAAAACGCAGAAAAGGAGGAATGAAAAAGACAGGAGAAAAGAACAAAGTCTCACAAAGCTGTAGACAATCTCCAAAGGTCTGATGAGCACCTATGATTTCCAAAAGAGAAAAAGATAAATACATGGAAGAAATGATGATTAATAATTTTAGAAATTTAATAGAAGATGAATGTGTAAATCTAAAAAGTTCACTGAACCACAATAACAATAAAATCAAAGACAAATCACACTGGGATGTATTCTAACTGACTGGAAAGTAAAGACAAAAGCCAATCAGAGAAAAACAGTGTTATCATATGCAGAGAAACATCAACTGGGCGATGACCACAGAGTTCTCATCACAAATGGTGCAAGTCATTAAGATAAGTGAACAGCTTAAAAAACGCTAACAGCAAAAGTAAGTCAACCCTACTGTACATCTAATGAAAACATTCTCAAGAAAGAAAAATATCAATTAAAAAGAAAAGAAAAAAATCAAAATAAGGACAGTTTCAAGGAAATGAAAACATTTATCTAGCCTTTTGAGGCAGTGTCTTGTTGATCGTTAGCTCAGTACGTAGTCCATGCTAACCTTCAACTGGCGACAATCCTTCTGCTTCAGCCTCCCAAGTGCTGAGACTACAGAGTGGACCACCACAGCTAGTCAAACTGAATTTAGTGGCAAATAGAGCTGCACTATAAGAAAGTTATTTAGGTCAAAAGTAAATACAACAGAGGTAAAACTTGAGAAAGAGAGATATCCAGGTAAATATCAAATATTACCTCCTTAAATTTTAAAAATTACCTATTACTAAGGCAAAAGTTTTTATAATGTATGCAGATGTACTTCATATTACGACTGTGGGGAATAGTGAAGGCAAATGCAAAGAGAAGCTAAATAACTGGACAATTTCTATGAAGTGGCAGAATATTAACTGAGTATATGGCAAAAAGTTAGGAAAGCACTATATATTAAAATCCATTTGCCAGCATGGTGGGGCATGCCTATAATCCCAGCAGCCTGAAGGCTGAGGTAGGAGTATCATTACCATAAATTCAAGGCCAGCCTAGATTACAGTGTCTTTAAAAAAATAACCTTTGGGCTGGGGATATAGCTCAGCCGCACAATGCCTCTCTGGCAAGCATGAGGTCTTAAGTATGAACTCTCAAACCCCTCCCCCCAAAAAAACCTTCAGTGTTCATATTGTTTGATAAAGCTTGCATGCCTATAATCTCATAATCTAAGCAACTCTTCTGAAGGTAACAATAATAAAACAACCATTGTTAAATTCCTATCATCCTCTCTTGAAATCCTGTATCACTATTGTTTTGCGGTTTTCTTTTGTTGTATGTTTGTTTGTTTTGGGTTTTTTTTTTGTTTTGTTTTTTTCCTCTTTAACATTAAAAACACCTTAAATAAACAGGTACAGCTAAAAAGTTAACACATTAAATGGAATACTAAAATACACTGAAATAACCTAAAAGATAAGAAAGAGAAGACATGAATTAAAACATAAGTCAAAGAGAAAACAATGTAAACCTGTAATAGTACCAATTACATTAAATGTTAACGTAAATGCTTCAATGAAAAAAAAAAACTATCACCAGAAAAGACGAAAAGAACAAGACACAAGGTTGAGGGCATAACAAGCCTGTGACCCCAGCATGTGGGAAGCTGAGGCAGGATGCTTGCTGTAGGTTCAAGGTCAGTCTGAGCTGCATAATGAGACCCTGTCTCAAAAACACAAACAAAAGAGGGGAGCTAAAGATGGTGGATTAGTAAGCAGCAAAATACAGAGCCTCCCTTAGAAAAACAGCTCAGATGCTAGAATAAAACATCCTGGAGAAGACCAGACGGAGGGAGATGGATCCTCTTGACCCAGGAAGAAACTAAAGGGAAAGGAACAGGTCAAACTCGTGGTGGCGCTGCTACCATCAGAGCCATTCAGATTCCTGGTCACACACCTAAGCTGCAGTTGTGATGAGTTGGGGGTCGGTGAGCCCAACAGAGAACAGAGCCGACATGGAGACCTGCACTAACCTGTGGTGACTGCTCAGAATTTGACCCTCTATGGGAAAGGGGCTACCAACTGGACGACTTATAGGAATCAGGCAGGATGGGCCTGGACAAGGAACAGCAGTGACTTCAGTTGATTGCTCCCTGCCCAGAGCAAATTGGTGGGATCTGCCAGAGCTGGGCCTCGCCCCTGGCCAGGACCCAAAATCCAGAGATTAAACTGTCCCCAAAGTTGTCCCGAACCAGTTTTGCCTGCGTGGTACACACTAACGTGGTGAAGGCTCCTCTTGATTGACTGGCTCAGAGGGGACAGGCTCCTGCTTGCACCTCAGCGACCAACAGCAAACTGGAGAGGGCAGAAATCCCTAGCTAGCAGCTTCAGAAGAACCACAACCAACAAGGAAAGGGGCTTGGACCTCCACCATACACCTGTATGGAAGAAACCAGAAACACAACAAGAGAAAGAAGTAAGAAAAAGCCTCCAGCCCCAATCCTGGGAATATTGGTCCAGGAGAGGTAAATTCAGAAGAGATTGAGGGCAGCAAACATGCAATATCGGACATGGCATCAGCTGACATAAAGAGATATCTTCGTGACATTATAGACAAGCTCAAAACTGAAATATTAATACAAGTAAAGCAAGATATAAGAAGATTAATAAAAGAAATGCTAAGCACCGCTCAAGATTTAGCTCAGCAGCAGAAGCGCCTGTCTTGCAAGCAGGCAGTCATGAGTTCAATCCTCGGTACCGATAAAAAGGAAAAAGACAAAAAAAAAAACCCCAGAAGAATGGAGCAACACAAAAAATGAGAAATGTTCGGTGAAGAATATAAAGAAAACCTAAAATACCTGAAACAGATTCCAAAGAGATTACCAGGAAATTAAAAATTTAATTGAAAGCTAAAAAAATTGCCTGAAAGAAACTAGAGATAGATTAACAAAACTTGAAGACAGGTTTGCAATGTGTGATCGTGAGAGGAAAGACCTCTTAAAAATACCAAAGGAACAAGCAGTAACAACACAAAGGCTAGAAGACGACAAGAGGATCTATAACTTAAGAATAAAAAATGGGAGTGAAGAAGCAGGGGTAAACACAAAGGAAATACAAAGGCTAGTCACAGAAATAATTAAGGAAAACTTCCCAAACATAGGAAAAGGAAATTATATTCAGATGTATGAGGCTATAGAACTCCAGCCACCTACAACCAAAACAGAGCTATACCCATACATATAATAAATAAGATTCCAGAAATTCATCACAAGAACAGAATATTAAAAGCTGTCAGAGAAAAGAAACAGATCACCTAGGAAAACCCATCAAAATCACAACAGACTTCTTGACACAAACCATCAAATCAAGAAGAGCTTGAAGTGAAGTATTCCAAGCTGTAATTAACCTCCAACCCATATTGATATAACCTGCAAAACTGTCTCTCAAAATTAATGGAGAAATAAGATGCTTCCATGACAGAGAGCAACTGGGGTAACTCCTGACCACCAATCCAACCCTACAAAAAACACCGAAGGACATTCTAGAGAGAGAGAGAGAAAAAAAAAAAAACAAAAACCAGGATTTCAGGAACAGTGGCAGAGAGGATCTCAATGAATGGGTTAGACAGTGGAATGAAGGAGAAAAGTAGACAACCAATGACAGAAAAATAGCATAGCAGAAATGAGGCAGAGAAGGTTGGCTATAATCTCTAACATAGATGGCCTTGATATATTAATAAAAAGAAACACAGGCAGAGTAGATCATCGAGATGCTCTTTATAGTAAATATAATTAACCTAAAAGAGGGCTTATGGACTGAAAGTCAAATATGAGAAAACAATCTTCTATGTGATAGGGAACCAGAGAGAAATAGAAGCAACTCATCCAGCACCTGCACATAGGTTGGAAAGACATAATACTTTTGTGTAGTAAAGAACTACTCAGCTATAAGGAAGGAAAACCTTGAGGCTTTTGTAGGTAAAGGAATATAACTTGAGGTCAAACCCAGGAGTGAGAAGGTTCGGAACCACTTAGGTAAATAGCACGTTGCCCTCCCAATCTAAAAAACAGAGGGAGTTGGTGGGACCCAAAATGTGCAGTGCACCCTGTGGGAATGAAAGAGGAAGAATTGTCTAAAAAATGAAGGCAGAGGATATTGTTAATAGTGTATCAGGATTTAAAATCCACGTTATTCTCAAACTCTGTTTAGATGGATTATATTCTGTTCCAGTTTGTCTACTTGTACTAGAATTAAGGGCACAGACAGCTCTCCCCAAAATACTAGGATATATTACGTTAATCATCCTTAATTTCCTAATAACTTAATCTGAAGCCCTGTATAACTTACACTGTCTTCTTATGACTGATCCTATATGAATCTGGTTTGTTAGATCACTGTTTTGTCTTGACTGATTTTTATTCGAATCTGTTATGATTGATAGTATCAAGTCTGAGAGTATAGGCAACTACACTGAAGATGACAAGATTCACTAGGATACCCACTCTGGTTTGACTATTACCTGCTTTTAAAGTCTTATGATGTCTCCAATGTTTTCTTTTTATTAATACTGTTATGTACTGCTATGTTCAATTATACTATGCCTGATGATATAGAAAATTCTATTGAAGTTAACAAAATATATTATAGTAACCATTGTAGATCACCTTGTACTGTTTTATATGACTTTTTTGTTTCATGTTTTTCTAGAATTTGTTTTGTTTTTCCTTGCTTTGTTTTGTTTTTTCCCTCTAATACAGAAAGGATAGATATACATGTAAAGACTCATGCATGCATAGAACTTTTAAACAGTTTATGAGAACTGATTATATAATGCATGATGAAATGAACAACTACTTTGAAGAAAAAGAGACATTACAGTACCTGAGTGCTGATTCCATAGTGCCATGATGTGAAATCCAGCAATACTATTATTCTTTGTTCAGAGTGATTTTAGCCTGTTTTATTTTGTTTAATTTCAACATACATGAAGGCAGCTATTTTGAAGAGAATGAGTGACACAGCCATTGTTGACTTCCTTATTGTCTGGTTTTGAAGACCTAAAATGCCTTCATCATCCTGTTCGGATCAATTTTATACTATGTTGTTTTGTATGAATTCACTGTATGTGAAGATATAGACAACTATTTGGAAGAAAACAAGAGACAATATGAAAGAGTGAAGATTCTGGTTGTCTTTTTTTGAAATCTATGTCTCTTATATTGCTTTCTTATGTTTTGTTTTGTTTAATTTTACCCTCTTTAAAATAAAATTAGAAACAAAACGAAGCAAAAAAAATAAAAATAGAGCAAGACTCAGCTGACTGTGGCCTACAAGCACAATTTCAACTATAGAGTATAGCTAGAAGGAGAAAGCTTGGAAAGGAAACTGTCTCTGATTTCAGATGACATAATTATTTACCTAGACCAGTGGTGGGAAACTTATAGCACACATACTGCAGCAAGCTATTTCTATCATTAAAGTTTTAAAAGGTTCACCACCACTGTCCTACACTATCCAGGCCATCTGCAAACTATTACATTTAAGATTATAGGATATAATATTAATTTGCAAAATTAGTTAAATTATTATACATTGGGGCAAGCAACTGAAAAATGTGTTTTAATCTATAATAATGTCAGAGATGAAAATGTTAACAATTATATCTTCCAGGCATGATGGTGCAAACCTGTAATTCCAGCATTTATGAGGCTGACACAAAAAGACTGCTGTGGGTTCAAGGTCAGCCTGGGTTACATGATTTCTTGTCTCAAGAAAAAATAATCTAATTGGAAACAAGTAAGTCTTCTACACTGAAAACTAAAAATCAGTCCCAAAGAAAATTAAGCAAGCAAGAATGAATGGCGAAATAACATTTTCATGAATTTGAAGAAATATTAAGATGTTTATTTCCCCCAGATCAGTGGTAGCCTAAGAAATGGCATGGAAGACACTTTTGGAGAGTTACGTTAAATGTTCATTTGGCACTGGTGATCATTTCACAGTTTCACAGATGTCAAAATTCCTCGGCTTGTAGATTTAAATACATTGTTACTTGTATACATACTTTTATAATGTTATAAAAAACCAAAACACTTTTTAATCAAAATAAGGCCTCACAAAACTTTTCTTATTTACATCTTTAACTGGATAGGATTTCTTCATTTCTCAAAATCCCTAGGAAATTCTATTTACGTACATAAACTGGAGGTAATATGCAATGTCACTGACATACTGTACACTTGAATATACTTATGTGCAGAAATATTTATTCAGTTCATAACTAAAAGTACTACTGCATACATTTCTCTGCTTACCTATATCCCAGCCCTCAAAAGCCTGACGATTACTACAAATTTGAAGGAAGCCTGGGCTACATAGTAAGTTCAAGGCCAGCAGAAACTATATAGCAAGATTTTGTCTCAAAAAACCGAAGCAATCTCTCTTTCCTCAACACACAATATTTTATACCTTTTCTTCTAATACCTACTAATTTTTTTTGCTAAAATTAATGCATTTTATGTTTCATTCTTCTTCTAGGCATGTCCAAACCACTGTCCATCTCTTTTATGTATCTCCTTAAAATATTAAAATGTAGAAGAGGTTTTGCCACTTATACACATTAACTATATTATTATTTACATGTGGTCCAATATAATTCCTCTTTGTTCCATATGGCCCAAGCACGCCAATAGGATGGATGATTATGATGTCCCAGCATAACAGCTGGCATATGATATCTACACAACAGTGAACTGCCAGATTAAATTTGATAAAATACCATTGTATGTATAATTATAGGTATACATGTGGAAACCTGATACCATGCTAATTTTTAGGAAAACTCTCAAATATACATTCAGGCTATTAGCAGCACAATTCCATCTGTTCAATATCACTTCTTAGAATGAGTGTTCTAAAGAGTAAGTATCTTTTGAAAACTATAGGTGGGGGGGTAGGGAAGAAAAAAAAAAAAAACAAGAAAGAAAACTATTTTTGATTCCTTTCTCAACACTACAGTCCATCAAAGCAATATCCTTGATCTTGTACTTTTATACTTGTGACCCAAATCTTTCTAATCCTAAATAGCTGTGCCCTGGCCTAAACTTTTCATTATAGTTACAAGCATTCTTAATTATACCTCTCTGCACTTGTTCCTTACAAGTCACTCATGCATGCTGTTTTCTCCACATGGAATATCCTGGTTTTTTTCCTTTATTTGAGACAGGGTCACGCTATGCAGTTCAGGCTGGCCTTGAGCTTGCGAAGATCCTCCTGCCCCAGTCTTCAGAGTGCTGGGATTATAGGTGTGTGCTACCACTCCAGGCTCATTTCTTTTATATGTAAAAAATCATTACACTTCTACAACAAAATCTGAAGTCTCACATCTCTTCCTACAGGTGTAAACTGGTAGCATATCTATTTTGAGTCAGTTTAATTTTATCACTACTTGGTATAATAGTTATTTTGTACTTGCTCTGTCACTTATAGTACATTTCTGTTACTTGATTTGTTTACATTATATTCAGGGAATTCTCATTTACACAAGATGCGCACATATAAAGGGAACCTGATTAACTGTTGTGGTTTTCAACACAGCAAACACTATTAACAACAGTATAGTTATAAACAGCAGACTTTGAAAGGCAAACTACCTGAGTTTTAATCCTGCCTTTGGTACGTACTCTGAGACAACTTATTTAACATCCATGTCCATTAGCTTCATCAATGAGTTACGTGAAAACTCAAATGAATTCATATGCATTAAAAAAAGCACCTGAGAAGACTACGACAATAACAATAGTGATATAGGATTTCAAATGAAGATGATAGGAATTTAACAATGGTTGTTATATTGTATATTGTTATCTTCAAAATACCTGCTCAGGTTACCAGATACTGGCATGTAACATTGATTAAACAATTTTGTTTTTCCTGTTTGCTTCTTGATTTTTGTGTTTTTTCCTCTTCAGAAAAAAATCCGTAAGATAATGATGTGTGACAATAAAAAATCTCTATAGTAAAATAAATAAAAAGCACCTGACATCATAACTCAATATAACTATTATTAAGCTGTTACAACTTCTATCCTCTAACTTTATCTGAGGATACTGAAGCTCAAAATTTTTAATAATTGCCAAAAAAGAACTACTAAGTTATAAAGCCAGAAAAGAAATGCAAGCTTTCTAACAGAACAATCTATCATCTGACCATTTTATTCAGTATTTTGAAAAATACTAAAATTTTATTTGGTTTTTAAAAGGTCTTCAGGTCATTTATGATTGGGGAGATGAGATGAATTAAAGAAAGACATTGATATATTCAAGAATTAAGAAAAGAAGAATAATATAGCAGATTAGAGTACATGGGCTCATGATCATACAAATGAGAGGAAAGTCAGGGAAGCAGTTCATGTTAATGTCAGACTAGCTGAGCACTTTGGGAGGCTAACACAGGATGAAGTTTGTGTCCTGCCAGTACAACTAGATGAGACTCAGGCTCAAAATAAAAAAGGGCTACTGTAGTTTAGTGGTAGAATCCCCTGGAGTCAAGCCCCGGTACCACAAACAAACCAAAAGTAGATGTGATTATCAGGTATTATAGACTTCATTTTCTAGTAAGGACATGAAGATTTTCTTGCTTACATTTTAAAAAATAATTCCTCTAGCAATTCAGAAAGTTTTTTCCGTGTCATATAAAGCTTATCTCCAAAACAAAAAATGTGTGTGTGAGATACTAGATTTTTTACACAGAATCGTAATTATACACTGATGAAAGAATCTTAACTTACAGATACTCAGTAAAGAACTTTCAGGATGTCAATGTATTTATCATCTACATTTAAAAGTCCTTTTAGCCTTTAAAAGTTTTCAACTTATTAGTCCTGTTTAGTTTTGGAGAAAACTAAATGTTTAAAGATCATGTTTAGAACTATCACAACTACACTAGGTGTTTTCTCAGGTAAGACCCCAGTCACGTAAAATATAAGATCTGTCCTAACAAAAAAATTCTACATAACTTCTCTCCCTTTCCATCTCTAGATGACAAAGACACACTGGTTTATAAGGATAGGAAATGACTTTTTGTAAGAAAACTATTTTCCAGAATATTTACTAAGTATTATCTATCTCACTGATAATGAGCACTTTGCTCACAACTGATCTCTATCTTCAGGTTTTTCTCCTATAATAGCAACCAACACCACAGCTTGGGCCAATAAAAATATCACTACTAAATGAAAGTTTTAGGTATTGTATGTATATTTAGTGGAACCATGCCACAGTTAATTTTGTGAAACTTTTACATTTTAAACTTAAAAGGGTAAGCAGCAAAAAAGGAATATATCAAGTATACTACAAGACATATATTAAAAATACATCTTTCTGTAATCTGAGTCATGTATTTCTGTAGACTTCTATAAAACTGACCACAGTATCAAAAAGAAAAGGAAGAACTCTCAGAAATACAGATTACTGTACAGTCTCTGAAACAAGTATAAGGGACTAAATATAGGCTTAATATCAAAAAGGAATGCAGTTGTCAATCCAGCTATCAACTCCAACTTCCAAAAATAATTCAAGTTCCAGAAACATCAAAAGAAGAGATAAATAGTACAAGAGAACACAATTACCTAGGCCTTAACCTACATATCCAAGTTGCTTGACAATGCTATGAGTTAACAATGTGGATTTTTCTCCTTTTCCTTCAAATTCTGGCAATAGGTTAAATGCTGTGGATTCCACATTTCCACACAAAGTCCAAGTGCTAGGTCTTTTAAAAGACAGAGGCAAGATAAGAGACACTGAGATGTACTCTGTCTTTCAACTTGCCAAGTACTAAGCATGTCAACATCTCCCTCTTAAAACTGTCTACATCTATTATCAGAAGATTATGTCATTAACCCTACAATTTAACTTCTTAAACTCTGCTTATGTAAAGTCAAAAATTATTCTGGCCTAACTTATCCTTTTATTTTATATACCCTGATAACTAGCTTACAAAATTCCCTCTGCTGGCTCTAATAAAGCTACCTCACTAAGCCCCAAGTGCTGATACACTACCCTGGCTCACATAATCCCAATTTATATCCAATCTGAGGTTCTTATCTTTGAGGCTCATAAATTTTATTTCTTTAGCAGCAACAAGCATAGATCAAATTTACTTGACTAAATATTTATTGTTTCCTTCTTATTCTATTCTCTTTGCCCTGATTTTTTCTGTAAAAAAGATTTTCTGGTATCTATCATAAACTGTGAAAAACACTAACAGTGGAGATAAAAACACATTTTTTCTACCTTTAAGAAGAGATCAAACCAATACAGAAGACAAATACTTCTATAAAGTATGAAAAATTCTATTTTAAAAAATTTCTAAGAATTCTACAAGAACACAAAAAGATGAGTAAAGACTTCACAAAGCAGTAGACAGGTGTTGAACAACAAGGCAGGATGTATGTGTTTCAGCTGAAATGGTAGAATGACAGAAAAGGTAGAGAAAGCCGAAGAATAAAGTTAATGTCTGATGACAGCTGAAGTGGCAGCTTAAAATATAACTGAGGATATCAACAGATCCTTTTTCTTTCATGCTTGCAAATTTATTTTAACCATGAATTTATGAGTTAGAATTATCTTAAACATACCACCCCCATTCTGTATACAAAATGACTATTATATGGCTAAACCTAGAGAAAAGAATTTTGAGGACAATGGGGAACATTCAAAGCAACCAAAAAAGATCATGTGCACTGGTGGGAAACAGTTGTGTTACATAAAATGAATCCTCAAAATTGTAGCTATAGAGAACAAGAGTATCAAATTAAAACTCGAGAGCTACATGCAAATTCTGACAATAGCTGTATTCCAATTATGACCAAACCTTTTACCTAATTTCCATTGCAGAGTTAATGTCAAATAAAAAAACAGGTCTGAAAGGTCCTTGAAGATACGTAAAATGCTATCCAAATATTCTTTTACCCTTTTTGTGATTATGTTTGCTAAACTGAAATGAATTTATAAAACCTACATTTCTGACTATTCAACCTGTTGCATATGATTTATGATAAAGAAGTTTTTACCCGTTCTACAGAGCGTGCCCTCTTCTTTGGCCGAGTAGGCAGCGTATCTTCCTTCGGATTGGTGTCTATTGCCCAATAGGATCCCTAGAGATAAAAAAATAAATTGTATTAACAGTCCAATATAGTAACGAGTTTGTTTTTTTAAATTATCTCCTGCTCCAAAAAGATACATTTTGCAAGCAGAACAATGGAAAAGCAGCAAACAATGTTAACAGTACCATGGAAAGAAGTGCTTGTTTTGAATGGAAAAAGGTAAAGTTTATGTAAGAAAAAAGGTCTATTTTATAATTAAATTATTAAGAAGAAAAAAACAGGAAATAACAGCAAGAATCAACTATGAGGATTGCATCAAATTAAAAAGCTACACAGCAAAGAAAACAACAGAGTGAAGCAACAGCCTGCTATATGGGAGACCATTTTTGCTAGTTACTCATCCAACAAGGATTAATACAAAGGCTACAAAAATAACTGAAAAAATTTAACACCGTAACAAATAACCTAATCGATAAATGGGTAAATGAACAAGACACTCCTCAAAAGAAGTACACATAGGCAGAAAGTATGTCAGAAAATGTCCAACACATCTTTAGCCATCAAGGAAATGCATATCAAAATTTTGTTGATATTCTGTATTACCCTACTCAGAAGGAGGTGATCATCAAGATTGGAAAAAGAAAAACACAAAACAAAACAAAACAAAAGCAGCCAAGTGTGGTGTGCATGGCTATAATTTCAGCACAGTGGGAAATTAAAGCAGGGGAATTTCAAGTTCAAGAACAGCCTGAGTATCTTACAAGATCTTGTCTCAAAATCAAAAAGGGATAGGGCTACAGCTCAGTGCAAATGCCCTGAGCTCAATTCCCAATTCGGCAATGAATGAATGCTAGCAAGAATGCAAGAGAAAAAGGAACTGTCGTGTACTTGTTAGTGTGATTATACACTGGTTAAGCCATTATGGAAATCATTATGGAATAAAAATAAAGCTACCATTTTATCCAACTATATCACTTCTGGAAGTAAAATCAACATACCACAGAGCTATCTGCATACCCTTGTTTATTGTGTGTTATGGTTGATACCCAGTGTTAATTTGAGAAGTTTAAGTAAGGGACTCAGCAGGAAGCCAGGATCCTTACTTTGTAAATATCCTCATCCTGTGCAAAAGGAGGGCACAGAGATTTTGTGAGTGGGCTACAGTCCCAGTGGAGTGTGTGCAGGGGGGTGGCCTGTGTACAATATAAAGAAAGAGGCTTGATTCTCCCCTTTTGCTCTGGCTGCTGCCTTGAAGTGCTGCCCCAGTGCCAAGTCACCCTGTCTTGGAGTCAGTTGATAATGGACTGAAAACTCCACAACAGCTAAATAAACCTTTCCTTCCTTCCTTCCTTCCTTCCTTCCTTCCTTCCTTCCTTCATTTTGGGTGTTGGGTGTTTTGTCCCAACAATGAGGGAAAAGTAACAAGACATTATGGTACAATTCATAATGGCTAACCCATGGAAATACTCTAGTTGCCCATCAATTGAAGAAACAATAAAGAAAATGTGTTATATATATGCACATAATATAGAGTATTATTCCACCACAAAGGATGAAATAATGCTTTCTGCAAGAAAATGAACAGAATTAGAGAACATCTATTTAAGGGAAATAAGCCAACCTCAACTATCTTATGCTTTCTCTCATATATGGAGCGTGTGTGTGTGTGTGAAAAAGAGAGAGAGACAGATAGACAGACACAGAAAAAGAGACAAACAAGTAGGAGGCAGGAAGGGAAGGGAATTAGAGAAGAGGAAGGAGGAAAGAAAAATGGTGACTGGGATGTGAAAATGATTTAAAGTATGTTATATGCATATAAAATATGCCAAAATAAAACCTATTATTCTGTATAATATGTACTAATTTTAAAAATCATGAGCCAAAAACCTGAACTCCAAGCACTTCTGCCATAGCCAGATTAAAAGAAATCAACTGAATACATTTTAATAAACACTGTCAATTGAATACATATGTTTTTGTCATATGACATTCTTTTTAAGGAGGAAAATTTATTTCCATTTTCAAATCTACAAGTATTTTATGTACAGTGTACACTGTAGTTTCTACACCATCAGACCTCACAAATCTAAATGGTAGGTGAAATAATTTATAAAGGCAAACTGCCTGAACATATTGTAAATACTAAGGACATCCCGAGAAGCAAGAATCTATACATAAATGTTCTATTGCTTATACTTTGTCACAACTTATTTTAACTAGATAGTCTCTCTTTGATACAACTTACCTTTTTTTTTCCCAAAAGTATGCATTGAGCACCTATTGTATTCCAGGTACTTAGCTACTATGACTCCCTCCAAAAATATTTTTTAAAAAACATGGATCATAGAGTTTGCATACAGTATACAAACAGGGAAAACAAAGCTCAGAAAAATGAAGTACTTGGCTCAAGAAAGATGAGAGCCAGCACCAGAAACAAGGTCTTGATTCTTAGCTCCTACTTCAATTATCCTGTCTTTCTATATAAACATACACATAGGATACATGTACACACACACACACACACACACACACACACACACACATACACATGCACGCATGCGCATATGTAGTAAAGGAAAGAAAAGCGGAAGAGATACACATTTCTGAAATATGAATAAAGCGTATACCCTATATTTACAATTTATTGCAGTGATAGTACTCAAATATAATCTTTAACTCTATTATTCCATTTATCTTACTAGACTATTTTTTCATACATGTAACAATGAAGGGAAATATAGCGCTCATCTCTCAAGCCTCAAACTTTAGCCTAACATAAATAGGCTTATAGTTTCTTGAACATACCATGTTTCATGTATCTGAGCCTGCTACATACTAATCTCACTGTAAAATCCACTCTACCACTGATAACTGCATATCCTACCTTAATAATTTATCTTCAGTTATTGTTTAAAGGAATCTTTCACTGATCTTTCTGCCATATTTAAGAATTCATCATTCTTTCCCTCTGCAACATTTCCAAACTTTTCACACATTTGAAAGTCTTGATTCTTAGCTCCTACTTCTATTATCCTGCATTTAAGAGTTTTATGGGTCTGTCTCACTCTTTCTAACAACATTTCCTACTTTTTATACGTTTATATCACTGATTGTAGTTACAATTTTGTTTGTATGTTAGTCTGCCCTTTTTGGGCTGAGTTCCTAAAGGGTAGGAATTACTATATTCATTTTTGTATTCACAGTGTCAGGCATAATGTAGGACACAAAACAAGTATAATAAGAAGGAAAAATGTTTAATGAACTGCAAGAATATCAACGTACAAGCTATAATGCCAGGCCTTCTCAGGTCTTTCATGTTGGTAGTGACTGATTTCATCTCCTGGTCACTGCTGGTGTATTCCTGTATGGTACTTTTCAAATGGTCACTACGTTTCAATTGATGAAGCTACTGTATATGATACAAATTTGTTAAGAACCACATAAAAATGTAGATGCGATAGAAATCATTACAAGAGAAAACACTTTTAATATATGCTACTTCTTAAACGAATGTGATAATTACATTCATGACATATAAACTAGTTTCTACAAAGTACAAAAAATTCTTAGGCTCAATTGTTATAAAAATTGACAATAAAAAAATACCAAAACACTCAACATTGTTTGTGGAAATGATAAATTCCACTGTTTAGTTTTGGTTGGTGCTATGTATAAATATGGGAAAACTATTCACTGTCCACATGTTACACTTGTTATTAAACACTTCAATGAAACTACAAAAAAAAACCATGTCTGTTTTTCTACACAAAATATTATTGGCTGGGTCTTGTCAGAAAGAGCACTGACAGGAAAAAAAAGCTGTTCACAAGACTATTACTATTCCTGACATACTCACAAAACCTTGCAATACACCTATTTTAAGCATATAACTGAACAAGTCCTTACCCAAATCAAAATACGTAGTGTCCTACATCACTCTAAAAAGCTCCTTTACATGGCTCAGCAAGTAATTTCTCCTTTATTGCCTCTTACCTTGATTCCACACAACTGGTGATCTACTCTCTCTGAAATTTCGTAAGACCGAAGACTGTTTCTTGTCCTCATTGGCAATGTATGAGAGGTTCAGCTGCCCCATCCTTGCCAGCACTATTTTGTCTTTTGAATTACAGCCATCCTAGGGATCTTTAGTTATGTCTCAGTGGCGTTCATGTTATTTCCCTAACGAATAACAATTTGCATGTACTTGCCAATCATATATCAACTTTTCAGAAAGTATCTTTTGTCGTGTTTTAAAAGGACTTTTGGTTATTCGTGTTGTAAGAATTTTTTATATATTTTGAGTAAGTCCAAAAAAATAAGCCTGTTATAACTTTTTAAATGTGATGAACATTAACTGTTTAAATCAATTTAGGGAGGACTGACATCTATCAACAGTGAGTCTTTTGTGCTACAAACATTTTATCTCTATTTGTTTAGCTCTTCTTTATTTCCTTGTTGATACTTTAGTTTTCAGTGATCAAGTCTAGATTTATTTTACTACAATGTATCCCTGAAGTGTTCCATTATTTTGGATCCCTCTGAAATAAGTGCTTTTGCTCATTTTCCAGTTGTTCCTTACTAATATGAAAAAACTTGCATTGACATTATATTTTGTGACCTTGCTAAGCTCACTTATTAGTGTCTTTTCCAAAGATTGTCTGGGACTTTCTATATATGCAATAATGTTATTTGCAAATAAGAATTTCACTTTTTGAAACTTGAATGCATTTTACTTCTTTTTCTTGCATTACTCCATTGGATAGGACCATTAATAGAATGTTAATAAAAGTGCTTGATGTAAACTTTCTTGCTTTGCTGTTAACCTCGGAGAGAAAACATTAAACTATCACTAAGTATGATATAAACTACATTTTTCACAGATGCCTTTGAGAAAACTTTTATTCTAAGTTTGCTACTCATTAAATTTTGTTTAGTATTTCTTTCTATAGTTGAGATTGTAGACTGCTTTTTATTTACTCACATGGTAAGTTGTATCAACTAGTTTTAAAATTTTTAACCTGCACTGCAATACTGAGACACCCCACTTGCTG